ACTGCAATATCCTTCTGCAACTCTGAGCTTAGCATTAATACTGACTGTGCATAATAAATTTGCAAGAACAGAAACTTTGTTAACTTACTATTCATTCTTTGCTAGATCACCAAGGAATATACTGAATGCTAAAACCTAAACTGCAAATACTGGTGGGAGCACAACTTCCCTCTACAGTGAAGGCCATCTGTTATTGTAATGCTATAATGTGATGGAAAGCACAGCAATGACAGCAGAGCAGCAAAATCCCAGGCTGCAGCAAGTGGAGACTTGCCCAAATACAACAGCCACACACACAGAAACAAAAGAAAAACACTACTCACCCTCAGAAAAGCTCAGGCATACAAGAATCTCCAGCAAGATACTCTTGCTTCCACTATGAATCCTTGAATGTCTGGGAAGGGGTGGATCCTGGCTGCACCCCTTCTGGTCACTCAGCTGCATTGCATACACCTGACCTCCTCTGGGCTGGCCCTGCCTTCCCACCAGGTGCTCAATCACTGTTTCAAGCCGTGACTCAGCATTTCCACTGCAATTATGTATGTCTTTTTCCCACTTTCTGACTTGAAGTAGAGAGGATCTTTCCCTGTTACTCCTTAGAATTCTGCAAAAACTTCTGGCAAAACTTTCCATTTGTCTCACCCTTACCCACAAAGAATCACAGAACCATAGAATATCCCTGGGTTGGACCCACAAGGATCATCAAGCCGAACCCCTGGCTCCACACAGCACCACCCAAAATTCAAACCCAGTGACTGAGAGTGCTGTCCAGGCACTCCTTCAGCTCTAGCAGTTGAGGCTGCACCCCCTGCCCTGGGCAGCCTGTTCCACGCTCCCACCCAACCAACCTCTGGTGCAGACCGTTCCCCTGAGCCCCAGCTGTCCGTCCCCTCGGGCCCTGTCGCTGTCACACAGAGCAGAGCTCAGCACTGCCCTCTGCTCCCTGTGAGGAGCAGCCGCCATGGCAGCTCCCCTCAGCTTCTCTGCTCTAGGCTGAGCAAACCCAGGGACCTCAGCTGCTCCTCATACATCTCGACTTTTAGACCCTTCACCACTTTCATAGGCCTTCTTTGGACACTCTCTAGTAGTTTTATGTCCTTCCTGTACTGTGGCACTCCAAACTCTACCCAGTGCTGGAGCTGAGGCCGCATAGAGCAGAGCGGAACAGCCCCTCCCTTGCCTGGTGGCAGTGCTGAGCCTGCTGCATCCCAGGGCACAGTTGGGCTACCAGGGCACACTGCTGGCTCACATTCACCTTGCTGTCACCCAGGCCACCAGACCTCTCTCTGTGGGGTTGCTGTCCAGTCTCTCATCCTCTAAACTGTAAATGTACCCAGGATTGCACTGACCTAAGTGCAGAATTCAGCAATCGTTCTTATTAAACTTCATGTTGTTGGTTGTTGCCCAGCCCCCTGGTTTGTCATGATCTCTCTGTAAGGCCTCTCTGCCTTTGAGGGACTCAATGGTTCCTACCAAACTTGTAAAATCCTTACAGACATCTCCACCAGATTCATGAGGCATGACTTCCTCAGAAAAAAAATGCATGTGGAATTTTACTCAGTCTAGTTGCTTTTACAGTTTCTTCTTCTGATTTTACAAGATAAAAATGTTAGATTTATTGCTCTGTAGATTTCAGCGCTGGCCTGGAGCCTTACTGGAGTCTGAAGTTTTACTGTCCATTGACTATTGCTCCAGCACTGAATGCAGCAACTGAACTAGCAATGAGCAGTTTTCCCTTGAGTCACTTCAGACTTATTTGATTGTTGTCATCACCTATTTTTCTTACCTATTTATCCCTCAACCTCTTCAGTTTGAGTTTGTTCTTCACCTATGACATGGGGCTCCCTGACCTTATTATCAAGCTGTAATCATGCAATAATTTTCCTATGGCCTTACTTCTGTTGAGTAATTCTGCCTCTTCACTTTTTCATTTGAAGTTGCACTAAGTTTCAAGTAGGCATAATGTTTTGGATGTGTGTGAAAGTATTTTTTATTAGCAACTTGCCTCTTGAGCTGGTATTTGATCTGGAGATTTACTTTTCATTTACTTTCCAGAATTTTCTGTTTTTCTTACATGAATGTGATTTTTGTCAACTTTAATATTCATCTCTCTCTCTCTCTCTTTTTTTTTTTTTTTTAATTGAGCTGTTTTGCTGTGGTTTTGTTTGCTTATTTGTTTTTAAGAGGGTTTTCTGCAATATAAGAGGCAGTGTTCAGTGTTTAATATGGTATCAAAATGTCTCTTTGTGTCTTCTCAACTTTCAGCCTTTTAGTTTCTTTTGACTTTTTTCTTTTTCTTACTTTTTTTTTTTTTTTTAATAAGAATTGGTGCTTATGTTTGATGAAAGCTTCCTTTTGAAGTTCAGCTTGATTGAAGTGGACTTCCAGAGCATTTTTACTTCCTGGTTGGATATTTAATATCAGTACCTGCAACTGCTCTGTCCTCATCACCGCTAACCTTTCACTTTTCACACAAAGTATAAATTACGTATCTCTCTCTTTCCTTTGCAAGATATATTCTTAGCATTTCTCGCTTTTTATCCGTAAGTGTCTAACCACCTTTTCCTTCACGCAGTGCAGCTCCAGTGTATATAATTGAACTTGAAGCAACTGCTTTGAACATTGTGTCACCTGTTTTAGACATGAGAAAGGGTTTCAGATGAAAGCTTGTTAATTCTCTTCCCCGAATGTATAAGATGAACTATTAAGATGCAGGGCCTCTTTTCACACACCTTGTCTCAGGGTAGAGACCCACAGGGTAGAGACTCTACCCACTAGAGACCCTCCTGCCCCCCATCTGCCTGGCACTCAGCTCTCAGGAGGAATGTGGGAGCTCTGACTTTGGGGGGGGATGAGGAAGGGGGCTAGCCAAGATCCTTGCTTATGCCTTCACAGGTTGGTACCTTAAGCATGAGGAAAGCAGCACTGACAACAATGCAGTTGGGTAACCTGATGTCACCACTGACCTATTGAGTCAGCGTAACCTAGCTCAAGTCCATAGATACACCTCTCTACCTGGCAAACTCTTGAAGGACTGGGCAGTGATATCCCTACTGACTGTGTAGTTACACACACTGTATGAAGATTTCTTTTTTCCTCTCACAGGTGGGTCTCTACAGGAGGTTGCATTGATGTGAAGGTCCTAGTGAGGTGGACCAGATAAAGATGGCAAGTTTGGAGCATGCACTGGCATATTTTTGGGCCCCTCACTACAAGAAAGACATCGAGGCTTCCTTGTGTGGAGTGTGTCCAGAGGAGAGCAACAAAGATGGTGAGGGGTCCGAAGCACAAGTCATACGTGGAGCAGCTAAGGAAACTGGAATTTTTCAGTCTGGAGAAGAGGTGACTCAAGGGAGACCTTGTTGCTCTCTACCACTACCTGAAAGGAGACTGTATCAAGGTGGGATTTGGCCTCTTCTCCCATGTAACTAGAGAGAGGAAAAGAAGTAAATGCCTTAAGTTGCACCAGAAGATGTTCTGATTGGGTATAAGGAGAAATTTATTCCCCAAAAGAGCGGTGAGGTACTGGAACAAGCTGCCCAGGGAGGTTGTGTAGTCACTCCTCCTGAAGGCATTCAAGAAAAGGGTAGATGTGGCACTGAGGGACACGGTTTAATGATATGGTGGTGATGTGTTGATGGTTGAATTAGATGATCTTAGAGGTCTTATCCAAACTTAATGATCCTGTGATCACAGCTTCCTGTGCTGCTGCCCCACACTGCAGTGATAGTGAGATGCACTGCACTCAGTAGAGCATCAAGCAGTGTATCGGTATCTCAGTGTGTATCACTTTGCCCAGCAACTGAAAGGCTTTCCTTAGCTCCATCAGAAACATCACAGACATCTGCAGACTGAACCCAAACAGTACACAACAGTAATATGGTAGCTTCAGAATATGCACTAGCTGCAGTGTAGATAGGGAATATAAGGCTATATCTGGACACAAAAAGAGGCATAAAAGCAGAGGTGAAACTGTTATAGTGCTATTGGTAGAAAGCATTTTACTAACTCCTAGACTGACCACAAAGAACCAACTATATTGGCTATTTTTCTCTTGAGAAGCATTAGAGGCTGAGGCATGAAGTCAGTCTTCCAAGGGAGGTGAGTAAAACTTCCAGCTCATCATCAGCCTCCAGTCAGAGAGATGCACTTCACTACTTTGCACTTTGAGATATGTTGCCATTAAGGTGAGGTATTACGTGGGTAAAAGCTAACATGAATAAATCCTGCAGGCTTTATTTGCCTGCAGTCTGAACTGAGCCCTCTGGAGCTGTTAAGGGGATGAGAAGGAGACAGCAGCAATCTGAGCTGAGGAGGTAGACATGCCGCAGACTAAGAAAAGCTGGAATAAGCTTACATATAAAAGGCTTGGAAAATCACTATTTTATATTAAGTTTATGCAAGAGACAAAGAAAAATACTTGACTAGCTTTCCAGCTTTGTTCAATTTCCTTTCCATGTACACGAAGAAATTTCAAGCAGAGGATTTGCTTTTCAGCACTCCAACATTATTTCCGTTCATCCAAGAAGCCCTTCCCCAAATGCACCATATATCACCAGGGACCTGCTCCACACTCCAAATGTTTTTTTCATGTAATAAATACTTGACATTTAGAAAAATCGCTTCAAAATTTACAGAGTGCTGTGCTCACAGTTTGAGATTACCCTCTAAACACCCTGAAGTGCCAGGCGCATAAATACATATCTTTGCAAATAGATTCACATTTATTAGTTTTGCAAGTGTATTTTCACTTCTTGGAGATGAATGACTACTACAGAAAGAAACAGCTCTGGTTTAAATTAAATAGTAAGTGCAGGAGAAAGGCTGATCAAAAGTGTTTAATTCTCTCCTTGTTCTTCTAATTTGTTTTGTCTTTCTAATTCAACCATTCAGTTGTGCTCTATATTATGGCCCAACCAAACAGATCAAGCTGTGAAACAGCAGCAGTAAGTGAACTGAAGTTTTAAAAGAGAAAGAAAGCTGTATATCTGCAGTCCATACATAGACTTCATCATGTAGAACAAAAACAAATCTCAAGATGTAGTGTATTTACCTCTGTGGCATTACTGGGACATCACTTCTCCCATTTTAAAGAGGGAATAACATGGGATGAAGTGTTTGGCCATAGAGAAAAATCAAGAGACTGCTGACTACTATCACTACATGGAAAAAGATCCTTACAAAGGCATCCTTCTCTCTGAACAGCAAAATCATGCCTCATTTCCAAGGGTGTGTGTGGGACGGAAAGAGAGAAGATTCCTGATGGCCAGAAATTGCTTAGCATCACTTCTCAACAACAGGCCTGCAGATGGTACCTGAATTGCAGAGGTTGGAGTACTGATGCAGGTAATGGTGCCATAAAAAGATAGAACCTTAACCAGTGAGCAAGATGATCCTTTCTTCTATATTACCTGTCAAAAAGCTTAACACCTTGTCCGAATTAGCTTTATTGGAGGTATATCATCACCATGGTGGAGGAGACAAAAGAGCCATTTCCAAAAAGTTCACTGACAGCTGATGAGGATCAGGTGCACCCAGACTTCTAGCTTTTCAGAGGATAGGCTCCATTGGCCAGCTTCCTCTTCAGTACTGACTGAGCCTTATCAGCTGAAAATACAGTCGTCCAGGGATCCTCAAGTATCCAGCTCAGGAATTGCCTGTGTTTAGCCCTGTAGAGTCTGACTCAGTAACCATGATGGCTATGCCGATTACAGATTTTTGTTTTCATTTCGTTTGGATGTGACAAAGCCTTGTTTCTTGGCCAAATCAACGCTTCAGTCAAACGAATGTAGTTAGTCTTTGTTTTTTTTTCTTCTGGCAGATGATAGATGAAGTAGTGTGGAATGGATCAAAGATGGAGGTCCTTGTTAACACTGGGTCATGCTTTTCCTTCTGCCTACCTCCTTCTCTGAGCATAGATAAGCAGACTCAAGGAATATGCCACCTAAACAAGCTTCATGACAACCTCTTCATTAATGCTGTGTTACACTGAGAAGTGGCACCCACCTACCAGTGGTTTTAGTTCTCTGGGGAAGATCTAGCCCACAGCTCTCAAAGCCCCTCAGATTCACTCACTTTATGTCTTGCTAATTAATTTATTAAAGTGAAGCAGTGACAATCCCTAAGTGAAAGCAGTATTACTTGCAGTGCTAGACTGCCAAACTAAGCTAAAGCCAAAGTACAATAGGATTAAACTAATTTTAATTTATCTGTTCAGGGATGTATAACAGTTTAGCTACACAAATTCAAAACTGATTTCAACAGTGACCATTTCATGGAGAAAAGCTTTGAAATTCTTATTAACTTCTCATGACTGAAAATTATTTTAAAGATCAAAGAAATTTAGTTTACTGTGTTTATTGTTGACAAAGGTCCCGATCAACTAGTTCTCATTATATGCTGTCTCTACTTAGCTACAATTTCCACTGTCATGAAATCTAATGTCACAGGTGTAGTGATCAGACATGCTCATGATTACATATAGATAAGGCAGGTGGTGGCTCATTTTAGGTTTGTACACACCTACACTTCACCAACTCTGTGGACCCTGGAAGTGAAGCATCTAATTGCAGAAATTCTGACCAAGTTTTATAAACCTGTGAGCCTAGGGTATTAATTTACCACATCCCGATGTCGATATCTAAAATAAGCCAGGTGAATTATGCTCCCCTTCTCTCCACAGACCGTGACCATAGTCACATGAAGATCACCTTTGGTATCAAAATGCATCTGCTGTGGTTCACTGCTAGACTATGCAGCACTAAATTCCTGCTCTTAACCACACCCTCTTCTTTTCCCCTGGTGTGAGGTCACTTTGCAGTGATCTTTCATCTCAGCTGATCTCTTGCTGTCTGGCTTTTGAAATTAATATCCTCAGCAAATCATTCAGCTCCTGCGGAGAACATACAACACAATCAGTATAATTACTTCACGTCACACCTCACTTGTCACTTCACTTTAATGCACTGCAAGTAAGATGAACTTGAGAAGGGCTCTAAGTTAATGTTCTCAGAGTTTCTATTTTAGACTCTTATAAAAGATGTTAAAAATATTCAGAAAAAGAGATTTCATCCTAGAAATTATTATCCATATTATAGAACAGCAAGCAGGGCCAAGAGAGTTCAGAGCTCTGTAATTGAGGCACTGTTAAAAACCATTCAACATAGGGAAAAGAACTGTTGGACAGGAACGATGGAACTCATCTAAAAAAGAGCAGGAGTTTGTGATGTAGAAATTTACATACCAAGTAGTTACTCTGGCTATGAAAAAGCATCTGGTTATTATGGACCACAGAGTTTAGCACACAAGTCATCCTACCTTGAAGCTGAGACTGTAGTTGGCAAGACAAATCGCAGGCTGTTTCCCTCTACTGCCTCATTCAGCTTTATAGCAAAGCGAGGTGCCCAAAACCAGCCAGTCAACCTGCGTCACAGCTGCTAGATCTGCCTCCTGCAGCTGCCATCTGGAACTTCAATGTTTGGCTCTTTGAAAGGAAGTTATTCAACTTTAGCATTTGATGAACAACAGCATGTTTAACATTAAAGTACCATAATCTCCCCTTGTAGGTCATCACCTATGTCACTTAATAACGATCCCTCACCCTTCCTTCATCACATTTCTCTGTAACACATTGAGCACAAATGTATCCAAAAGATATTAAATCTGGCCTCTTTTACTTCTCTTCCACTGCCTCAGAGAATACTTTTGTCTTCTTTGCAATCAGCCCTGAACCCTTCCCCAACAACTCTGCATTTTGGAAGACCACAATTGATTCATTTAAAATCCAGGTAGGATGAGACTCCTTTGTTCCTCTTTTATATCATAACCCAGTTTTAGGATGTTTACTAAGGCATCATACTTACAGCCCAACTCTTTCCTCTTGTACAGGTGATTCACATTTGCAATTTCTGCCTTTCTGTAAGGAGCTGTAGGCACCCAGCTGCTGACCATTCCAGGCAGGAGTTGATCACAGTCCTCAGGCAGAGGCAGAGGCTAGGACTGAGCCCTGTTAGATGGTAGAGAAAGTACAGGACTGCCTCCCTAGCAAACAGCAAATTCTGCATAATGTGTATTTATTTGTTCATGGTGAAGCTCAAATTGAGGGGCCATTACTGGGTGTTTTTTCTCCTGTAAAACTCCATACATAGTAAAAGAGCAATTTTCTATCTTACAAAGAATATTAAAAGCTGAACAAAAGAACTAATGCCCTTGCAGGTTGAGAGTTATAGAAGCAGCATTGCTTTTACAATTCAGTCCAATTATTTCTGCCCCTAAAGTCTCCCAAAATGCCTAATAAAATAATTTAGAAGATGAAAGTTTTTCCATTTCTAATACTTATATCTTTTTTTCCAGCACACTCAGTATTTCTTCTTCCAATAACAGCAGCAGGACGTGACCTTCTGGACTAATTCAGCTTTGATTCTCTGTGCTGCAGAAAATGGGCAACAGCTTAAATACAGTCCTTGCTGGACTTTCTCTTTCTTCACTTACATGATAAAAGAGTTTCATCTGCATTTATATACTTAAGAGCTAAGGCTTTCATTAGGGCATCTCCATTTACCAGATGGTTCCATCTATCAGTCCCCACAGTCTGTGAGAATCTACCACTCCCAGCTGCAATGAATTGGCTCTGGCCACAGAGTGAAGATGGCACAGAATCATGCAGTATATAAGAGTATACAAGCTAAAACTTGTATATGAATCTCAAATCCCAGGCACATTCAGACACTAGATCAAGGGCCCCTCAGGAGGAAGCTCCTTCTCTCTTTTTAAAATGCTGATAGTTTTCTTCAGCCCATATGTGTATTTTTGCAGCTGAGGGCTGTGGTATGGTCACGACCCTAAGAATGCTAGCCCACTGCCATGACTTTCATTGTGTGGACTGGGTTTAGCCATTCTCTTCTCCTGGAGTAACCAAATGAACATAAGTATCTTTACGTTGCAACATCTTCTCGTGACGCTTTTTACCTGACAGTATTTTGAGGGTGGAGGAAAACCTAGCCTGGTTTTGGCCAATCTTGCTACAAAAGATTACAAACAGATATCTGTGTATGTACTCTATAAGTAAAACCTTGTGGCCTACAAGATACGTGTCTACTAGGTGCGTATTTGTGATCAGTGCTTTCTATGAAAATGTCTTAAGTCCTTTTAACACCAACGATCACGTGTTTCCCATAGCAGGGCCGCTATCATCATCCAATATGCTCTCTCCATAGGAGGATGGTTTCTGCTCGCTGTGATTTAGAAGCAAACTATCTGGCCATCTGAGTTCAGGGCATAGACACTTCCTGCTCTCCCCTTGCTTGTCAGCTTTTTGCCGACTGCTCCCTATCTGAGCAGAGGATGAGGAAGATGCAATGGCTTGTCTAGGGCAGTGCTAAATTACTCTGCACCTGGACCAAGCAGCCCTCATCACAAGCCACTGCTGCTCTTTTGGCAAATAATGGCCAATCAGCTAAATATTTGAGATAGTTAAGATCATTTTAATTTTTTATTTCTTTACACCACAGAAATTACACTTCTGCTTTAGAAATATTTTGGTTTATGAGGACATATTTGCATCTGTATCACTCATACATGCAATTCCAGCAAAGTTCTTTGTTTTTTTTTTTGATCTATGGAAGACTGACACACTACAGGAAGGAGAGGGGTGACAACCACCCAGACTTTCACCTTTGGGCAGAAGCCACTTGGTGGTCTGTGATGTCAAATAAAACCTTTCAGTTCTAACCCTCTCTTTTGGCTGTAATAAAATTTGGCAATTACAGTTCAGTCCCTAGAGGGCCCTAAAGGATAATAGTCCACATCACAAAACAGCTGTATATATCTATTTGCCTTGAGTTGATGAGACGGTCAGCTTCTATTTGGAGAAGTCACAGTAAGTAGCACAGAAGCTATATGGCCTTATTGTGCCTTGAAGGGAAAATAACTGCAGTGAAGGAAAAGACTTTCTTCTGAAATTCATACATTCGAAATTCACTCACTACAGATCTCTGTGTATGTACTCTATAAGCAAAACCTTGTGGCCTACAAGATACGTGTCTACTAGGTGTGTATTTGTGATCAGTACTTTCTATGAAAATCTTTTACATGACTGGTTTTAACATTTCCAGTTAATCACATTTCGAAGTGTTCAGTTGCTTTTAGGGATATTGTTCCAAATTGATAGCTGAATTTAGAGAATGATTGTTTTTCTTGTTTGATTTTTCTTCAATTCATTTGCTAAAAAAAAATTTAAAAATTAAAAAAAAATAAAAATCCAGGCATTAGAAGTAACAAAAGAAAATGGTTAATTGCACTGCCATACAGGAACAGAAAAGACTGAAGTTGTTATTAAGACTCAGGAATTCAAAAAGGAAAAATAAAATCACCATTATGCCTAATAAGTCTTTATTTCCAAACAGAAACTGCAAAAATATTCTATTACAGAGCAAGTAACAAGTGCAGAATTCCAAGTACGCATTATACCAGTGAAACCATTGCCTCCTTGACAAAAAAAAATCATTAGGCACTTAAAACATGAAAACAAAGCATAACATAAACCAGCTAACAGATGTCTCAACAATACAACTTTATCTTGGTTTTCTGTAATAAAAGCACACACACGTTTGAGGGGCTTTCTATGCCTCCTCCTAAATCCTGCATAGAGACACTTCTATGTTAGGCTGCACGCACACTACTCATGTGCAAACAGACAATATCAAGTTCACATCTGAAAACATTAACAAATTCAGCACTGAGAGAATTTTAGAGACAGCAGCTTTTTGGAAACAGCAGCTGCAGAGCCTCTGCTAGCAGCTTCACACAGTTTGGTGCTTGAGGAACACGATACCAGCTCCAAGCTGGGTAAGCTCTGCTTGGACAATGGCATTGAAGAGATCGGAACAGAAATGAACGCAAACAGTGCAACTCTGACAGACAACGAAACTTCTGGGAAAGAAAAAAAAGAAGAAAAAGCAGCTACTGTGGAAATTACATTTTGACACACCTCTGAAAAAGAAGAAAACATGCACTTGGCATCCCTTAGCAGTAGTTCCACGTAAAACCTCACCATTTACCAGTCTCCTTGCTTGTATTTCTTGAGCTAAACCAACAAAGGTGGTGTGTTAGCCTCCTTTAGAAAGGTGTATCTACAAAAACCTGTAGAAAACAAAAGACTAATGAAAATACCCTCCTAGAAATCAGTCAGATACCCTTACAAATGATTTCAGTTGCATTATTGTTATTTTACGGGTGCATTAGGAGAAGCACTGCCAAGAAGTTGAGAGAGGTGATCTTCCCTCTGTACTCAGCCCCAGAGGAGGAACACCTGGAGTGCTGTGTCCAGTGCTGGGCCTTATCTAAACTTATAAATATCTTAAGGGAAGGTGTCAAGAGGATGGGACCAGACTCTTCAATGGTGCTCAGTGACAGGGCAAGAGGCTACAGGCACAAAGTGAAATACAGCAATTTCCACATGAATATGAGGAAAAATCCTGTGATGTGAGGGTACAGAGCACTGGAAAACACTGCCAGGGGGGTTGAGCAGACTCCTTCTCTGGAGATATTCAAAACCCACCAGGATGTGATCACGTGCAATGTGTTCTAGGTATCCCTGCTTGAGAAGGGGGCTTAGACCAGATGATATCCAAGGTCCCTTCCACCCTCAGCCATTCTGTATCTCTGTGTGTGTGGTTATATAACTTTCCCTGCAGCTTACTCTGATAGAATAAAATACAGTGAATATTTTAAAATAAATTTAATTTAATGCTTGAGGAAAACAACATTAAGAATATTAACATAAAGAATACATCTGAAGCTACTATATAAAATCTGCATACAAAACAACAGAAAATTCAGCTACTGCATTTCAATTTCACAAGACTTTAGGAATGATTCTGTACCATAAACACTGCCAAAAAATACAATAAGAAGTAGAAAGGTTTTCTTAGGGAAACAGCTCACAGCTGAGCCAAGAGCTGAAAAACCTAGCAGGATGCTGACTTGCTGTGACAGAACCTTCCCTTGTCAGGGACTAAACACTGAAGGAACTAAAATCCATAATCTTGTCTTAGACTAGAATATCCTGTCCCAGCCATTAGCATTATTCATTCTGATGGCCTCTTGCCACTGTACCATGATTTAATGGTGCAGTCATTAAAATACTTCCATCGCTCAGTTTTTTGAGTTGTCTCCCTCAATGGAAAGCAGCAAGAAAACACAGGAAGAAAAAGAAACCACAAGACAAAGCTGTATCAGGTGCAGCAACTTATGTGGCATGTTATACTGCTAAATCTACCTCATAATTTAGCAAAAGGGTAAATTACTGATTATTTGATGGCAATGCAAAAATGTCATTTCTTCCTGTATTCAACAAGGAATAAAAGAAGCTCTAGCAGTTCTGGTATATGCAATAGAGAAGCACTGTCAGAGTGTTTTCATCCTTAAATCAGTATGTGCCAACACTGGCCACTGAAGGGCAGTTACTACTCACACACAGGGATGTTAGCTCAGTAAACTGTCATACATCACAGTATTAAGTATAATTAATGCATGGGTCCTTGGTCTATAGGAAATCCAGACTGATGTAATCCTAATGGTTTAACTTGTCATATTGCTTACATTTGCTTGACATGAAGAATGTGCAGAGACCACTTCCAAGCTGGATTGGTGCGCGGCCACCCAGTGACAAGGGGCAGTTCCCTTGTGAGCCAAGGCACAAGATTGGAAGGTGTTCTGCAATGTGACTTGACAAAAGAGACTACTAAATAACAGTAATAGTGCCTTTGTTTAGTGGTACGCTGCAGATCTTTCAATGCCTTGCTTGGCCATTATTATAATTTAGAGCTAATTAAGAAACACTTAATATGAGCCTGATGAAAATCTGGTACAAAGCTTAATAAATATAAATTTCCCACTCATTGTGCCCTACAGCTGAAAGCCTCAAATGATTTCTCCAGAGTATCCCAAGAGATCAGCTGCCTTTAAAACTTTGAAACTTTGAAATTCAGAGAATGGCTTTCCTCCCTAAAATGATACAATCCGAAATCAAGAGAGCCAAGCCGTATGGATTAAAACAAGTCTTTGTTGCTATTCTTGGAGAGGAGAAAGACCAGCTGCTGAAGCATCCTGAGATAAAGGATTACCTGGCTGAGAATATTTGCAGCTAGGACACATTTAAGCAGCAAGTACATATGTAAGAAGTTTACTGCCTCCACGGATTACAGCACACAAGTGACTAATCAGCTGTTTCAAATAAAGCTGTTTCAGAATAAAGCACTTAACAGGATAGTCCTTGGGCTTGATATTGCACACATCTGTGTACACAAGTGGACATGCGCTTTACAGACCTGAGAGCCCTGGAGACACAGCTGTGTGCATCTTCAGGGTCTTGCTCAACAGATTTGGCACATAACAGAGAAAGATCTCCAAATTAAACATACTATGAACATGGCCATTTCTGGCTGCTGTTCCGCTACTGAGTCCACGATGCATCAAGTTCTATGTGATTAATCAACTAAGACAAATTAACAGATCCAAACATTTGCACTGTATAAAATCAAATACTCCATAGCAACAGGATTTTTTTTTTTTAATCTGGTAGTTTGGGGAGGCCACAGAAGATGCTGGGCCACCTGGATCACTAGGCTTCTCTTCCTGTATCACACAGGATAGAGACCTTTGTCAAGACAGACAAGCTACCAGATGTTTCACTATCATCCAAAGGATGGGGTGAGATTAACTGCTCTCAAAACTGCCAGACCTGCTCAGCCCTGATCTCTGCAGATGTTGTTTGAGATGAGCAAAGACAGGTGTGCCAAATTGCATGCAAGACTGTGCAATCTTACAGCTCACAAACTGAGAAACAGTATTTCCAGACAAAGTTCTTCGTTACTGAACAGACTAACGGTGGGTGACCACTCTGCACTGCTGACTTGCCCCCCAGGAGCCCGTCACATCCCCAGCAATGCCAGCTCCCAGCTTAGGGACTGCTGAGCCTACTCAAGAGCCGTCTGGCACCAAAAGGGCCCTGCTGTGTTCCACTCCTTTGCTTTGACTCTGAGATTCCCATGGCTCTGTTGGCATGAGCCAGTTATCTTTGTTGCCAGGCTAGGTTTTGCCAGCTTGAAGTGCCAAAACGGCACAGTGCCAGAGATCACATGGTGGAAAGGATGAAGCGCAAGAAGGGGACTGGGCCGCACAGCCAGCCATCACTGCTTGAGTCGCCATGGAGCTACAGCCCAGATTTTAGCAGCTCAGGTCAGGCAAGGTGAATATCCCACCACGCTGCCTTCTCAGAGAATGAAAGCCAAGCAATCTTAAGTGCATTTCGCTATGCTGTGTGCATAGTAGCTTTTGATTCTTGGCCATACACTCACTGCAAACACCACGCAGAACTACATAATGTTCCCCTGAGGGAGACAAAGTAACCAGCTCCTAGCAGCATAGGATCATAGAGGAAAACACAACAATACTGATTTGAAGGAGAAAAAGGAGTAAAAGCAGACAAGCAGGCTGTAATCTAAGGATGCTGTGAACTGGTCATGTGCAAGGACACTGTCAGCCTCTGTACCTCAGCGAAGGTGCAGTGGAAATATTAGCACATTGTCTTTGCTTCTATCTTTAGAAAACTAGTTAATCTCTGCATTCACTCCGCAGCGTGTGACAGCACTGGAGGCCCACAGACCTGAGAAATTATTATTCCTCAAATGGAGGAGAGAAGCTGAAAAGCCTTTCCTAACCTTTGGTCAAGAACCCTTAATCAAAACTGCTCTTGGCTCATTCTTGCAAAAATGTCATAAACACTCCCAGCCAGGTACATACCCTATTTATTCATCATTAACCTGGCACAGATGTAAAATAAATGAGAAATAATTTGTTCAGCTGTCAGAGAAAACATCTTTTACCACAGTGCCTGGGATTCAGCAAGTCTTCATTAATCTGACTGGACCCTGTCACACAGAGACGCTGGTGTTAGCTTGCCTGGCCTGTGCACAAATTAACAAGAAGGAGCCATCAAGCACACAGCAGCAAGGTCTGTAATAAAACCGAGTGCAAGATCTGCACTCCTCTGATGGGAAGTGGATGAGATGAACATCACATAATAGCTTCGTGTCTGGAGCAAGGCCTGAGAAAGCTATATTAAAAACACATTCTGCACTCCACATAAATCACTGGCAGCTCATAGAGCATAGAGCATAAAGGAACATGCCTTCAGGTCACTGGCAAGTTTCAACTTTGTTGAAAGCACGAAAAAGTCAAGGTGTCTGTCCATCTCACAGAACTTTGTTTGCTCTCATTTGTGACCGATCCACTAAAGCTAGGGCTATAAAGATTGGTCAGGGATCTACTGCAGCTGCCTAATTGCAACCACAACATCCACATTACTAAACTAAACTAAAGCTCCAGCAGGTGCTTATTACAGCTTGAAAATTACAGCATTTCAGAAAATGTAGCTCTTGCCTGGACATAAAGTCTGCTCTGATTTACGTGGCAAGAAATATTCGGAAGCACAGAGGACAGCTGTATGGCTGCGTTAGCAAACACTGCTTGTCTCCAAACAGAACAGTAGTTCTGACTCTGAAACTCTTTAATGCTCTACTGCACATGTGGCACTGATATCTCCCTCGGCTGAGCTCAAGATGATGGAGCCAGCCAGGACAGAAGAAAAGAAACAGTTTTGGGAAGGAAAGAAAAAAATCTGTGGAGTCCTCTGAAATAATGATCCATAGGCTATACAGAACACAACACAAGAAGAAGGAGGAATTGCTACGTAGCTGAGATCACCCCACTGCACGACACTAGGCAGGAATAAGTCTTTGCTTGAGTACAGGTATTTTGTGTCCTCGATGAAATATGAGGTGGTTCTCAATCAGTTGTTCTTATCACAAAGTATGAGTACACCACTTTTCACAGCTTCGTTACACCCAGGTACAGTCTACATGAGTGATTTATGGCACAGAAGAGCTCTTCTTGCAGTAAATTTGTCTTCTATTTGTAATTAGGGTCTTGCAGCAGGCAATCATCTACCACACTTGTAATGTGGATGCAAGGTCTACAGCAGCTAGTTCTGTATGTGTGGCAGATGTCTGTGGTCAGAAACTGGCACAAATTCCACTGCTAGTGAGGACAAAACATGGATGCGTGGTGCTGGAACCAGAACAGTCTCAGTGAATAAAGCCCTTGTGCTTGCCTCTTTCAGCCACCAGCTGGTAAGTCAGCTGTGCCCATCAGCTCAATTATGACATTTTTGCTTCTCATGAAAGCCCTACTGATATTCAATCCTATACTTGTGTATCGGTGGTGTCATCCAACACCCCAAAGCACTATCTATTTTTTTAAAACCTTGTTTTTGCAAAAAAAAATGAACTTGGTGCTGATGTATGTAGCTGAGTTTAGGGCCACTCTGGGGTAGGAGTAGTGAGATTCTGATATCATCCTGGAAATGGATCAAAATGCTGAACACAGACCTGCAATGATAATGACTGATTCAAATATTTCTAGGATTATTTATGTGGTTATAAAACTGTTGCAACTGTTGCAAGTTAAGCTTTCAAATATTACAGCAATATAGAAATGCTCTTATAAGATATCAGTCTAAAAGTATACTTTATAAGGTTCAATACATTTATAGTAGGTTTTTTGGGTGTTTTTTATTTTTGCACAAATAATCCTCAATGAGTGGAATACTGAATGCTCTGTAAACTATCAGCTGATTGGGGATTTAGTGCTACTGTACTAAGATGAGTTTTAGTACGGAAAAACCTGATAGTATCTGACTAAAAGTACAGCAAGGACATTCTATCATTGAATTGATCATTCAGTAGACTCAAAAAAAGCCTCCTGCAAGAGAAATTGGTTACTGCAATTCTTTTTTCTGCAGTAAAAAAAGTATAAGCAGTCATATACTAGCAGCCACAGCTAGAGGAACAAGTGCCTATAGCTCCCATTAATGTTAATGTGAATCTTTATTTCAATTGTGCTCCAATGGACCATATGGAAACTTTAAGCACAAGAACTTCATGGGGTTTTAATTAAGTGACTGTAGTTTTTTCTCACATGCCCCAGTATAGGAGAAAAGTTTGGGGTTGGCTCTAAAACAAACGTTCTTCTAACAATGCTCAATGCAGTTTCTTTATCAGTTGTCACATAGGGAAAGGTGTTATGCTAGGTGAAAATGAAACAGAAAAAATGCTAGGGATGGTATAGATTATTTTTTCTAGTGAATAGACCCTCACATATGTCAGCACAGATATGGATCTGGGATTGCAGGAATGTGTGCAAAGTCATGCCCTACCAGGACTCCAGGGAGTGCAGGATGAAACCTAGTTGATTGTCCTCACTTGGAGCTGAACTGGACCTTAGACAGGAATACAAGCAAGAAGAGGGTTTTAAAAATAATTATACTCTGGTTTTATAACTCTGGTAATTACAGCTCTGGTTTGTCAAACACTTCTTCACAAAACTAACGTAATTCACAGGACTGATCCCATTACATCCACTACAGCATAACTCACTGGCCACAAAATTAAAGCACATGAACTACTTGACTATCTCTAACCTGAGGGATTTTTTTTTCATTTGTGCACCCTGGGACAATCTAAGAATGACTTAGCTCTGAATTAACAACTCCATTGTAGCTCTTCTCATCGCCTTTCTCAGACAGAAAAACACTATATGTGTGTGACTGAGTTCTTAATTCAAAGCATTCACTACCAACTTGGGCAGCTACCATACAGTGACTATTGCCCATGTTCCATGATATTGATTAAACCAGAGACCTTACATCAAAATAATTTAATGATACTTTAAGAAGAAATACATTATGAATGTTATATATTGCCACCATTCTGAGATTGTGCTTTGCTACAATTAAAACCACAGTCAGAATTTTCAGAATTTACACAAAAATGTTATTTTGTATTAAAAAAAAATGAATACTTAAGAATTGGAAATGTAGCAGTCAATGTGTGAAAAATCCCTTCCTTTTCCCCCCAGATGTCAAATATTTATCTATTGTAATAATGCAGTTTAATGCTCACAAAATCACATCAGATCAAATCCAACATCGAGGTGCTAAGATATACACAGATTGTCTCCTTTGGATGATCACCCTGGAATTAAAACAATAAAACATGTTACTGATATTATTAGTACAGTAGGAAAACCGCCTTTGATATTCAAACCAGCCAATAGCTTACATGTATTTCACCTTCTGCATGTGCTTTTCAGCTTTATTACAAACTGGAGGTTGCTGATATTTATTACATGGGCTCACAAAAGTCTCCTGGCTATGCTGGGCTGCCAATCTAGCTCAAACATCTGCTTTTCCTAAAGGAGTGCTTCTTTTCAGCACCCCACCTGCACCACTCTCTGCAGCCTTCTAAACTGAGCAGGGCTGGGCGCAACCACATCCACTCCTCATCTGAACATGGGTAACTTTAAATTATATTATCTTAATCATATTTTGAAACAGCTAGAGAATGAATTTATTTTGTTTGTTCAACAGCCTAGTTCTGCTTCTGTAAAACAAAATAAAACCCTCCTAAATCTGTACAGATTTTTTTTTTTCCATTTGATTTAACATCTAATGCAAATTCTAATCTGATATAATCTATTTTTTTCTTCTAATCTGGTGGGATTTAAATAAACAGAAGCAACTTATCCCCACTTGTTTTGTTACTGACATTACTCTTAATGCACTTAGCTCAGTGGCTGAACACAGAAGCAAAGTGCGTGCTTTAAAACGATGTGGCACAGGTACTAACGCAGAAGACCTTTCTTCTAATGCTGCACACATCTGATAGTTTGATTCTGGATAATATTTAGGGAGGCTGAAATTTAGCTGCCCGGCAGGGATCTAGATGTGTCTTTATTTTCAAAATGTGATATTTTTCTCATTAAAAGTAAATTGCGATGTAGCTCATATGTCTCCCACTGCGACACCGCAAGGATGAAAGAATTCCAATAGAATTTAACCTCATATTGGTATCCTACAGTTATAAATAGGCTCTTTATAACAATTATAAATAGATTCTTTATAACGGTATTTATAACTGATTGCATTTCCAGGAACTTTTAATATTAAGAAAATACTATATGCTGGCAGGGTGGCACAGCCCAGTTAAGTTTGATGAGACGAGGATCATGAGCAAGGAGGCAGGCAGTCACCTGCTTTGCATGATGTTACCCAGCTAGCTCCACGCCCACTGGAAGTCTGCGTGGCTTCCCTCTCTGTCACAAATAGATGGCTTTTCTTCATCTGCTTGCAATTAAAAGCCCAGACCCAGTTGTTACTTTCCAGGTAACACGCACTCAGCTGAAGGTTCAGCAGCCCTTACTCTCCAGCCACCAGCATTTCCCTGCTCAGCCTCTCCTCCTACAGCACTTTCTGCTCAGACGATTGAGCGCTATTCCCTGCCCCGGGCTCGGGGAGTCTCAGTTCCATTCTTATTCACCATGTTGTTTTTTTTTTTTTCTATTGACTGACTTCTCTTAGCAGCTGCTTAACGCTGCTGTGCTGTATGTCAAAGCAACACATACTCATCTTCCCCACTGTCTTTCCAGCAAGCAGAAAACCCCACGGTTTCTCGGTCAGATATCGTTTGCATTTTAACCAGCTTCTGAGCCATCACATTTTTGCCAGTCTGATTAATTTATCGTCTGACATTTTTTCTAATCAGATTTTTCTCTCTATTTTTAAACAGGATTCAGGCCATTTCCCCTCCCTGAGCCCATGTTTACTTGAAGCTAATGACATGCCTTTCAGCCTTATCAGGTTAAAGCAATGAACAAACAAGACTTCTTCCTTCAGCTGCAGGGCCATAGCAAAATGATTCTGTAATTTAATACAAAATAATAAAGATCATTATTTTAATTACATTTTGAGATTTTGCTAATGTCCCATTTCCCATCTTACAATCTGTGATAGGTATGCATCTACTTTAGCAAAGACACATTTCTGCTGAGCACAATCTTAACAGTGCAGGAGTGGATATCAAGGTTGATGGAGTTACCCACATTGTTCCAAACCAGTTTTAAAGGACTCTCACACCTGACAGTCCCTTCTATCCAACAAGCAAAGTACACCTCTGCAATGGCAAGAATGGCAAACAATACTGCAGAAAATATTAATTGAAATGCAGGTATGCTCTCCCTGTGGTGTTCCAGCCTCTGCTACCTGCTTGCAACACAGGTGCTTCCAGCACAGCACTTCTTATTCATTCACTTCTTATTTATAGCAGCAGACTTGTGTTACAGTAACCTGTGAGGGAAATTCAGCCTGAGACTTTTGTGGATGCCCAGTGATATAAAGAAGCTTCAGCTATCCTGCTAACAGGGAAGAGTGGGAACAAGAATAACATTAAAGAGACATTGAAAAGAGAAATGAGATTGTTCAATTTTTTGAAAAAAATTATCTTCTGCAAAATATACTCATTATAGGATTTCAATTATCTCTTATATTTGATAACAGCAGCAGAACGATAGCTCACACTGAACACATTTAATTTCTTTTTATTAAAGGACTAACTTTTCTCTCTGTAAATAGAAGTGATTAACAGTAGACAAAAATCTTGAGGCAGCACAACTTATCCTTCTGGTTGCTTTTTCCTTTACAGCTCATTTCGTAAATTTGACCACAAAAGTCATTTTCAGTCTGCATAGCATGGACAGCATTTAATTAACACATACAGATGCTTAAACATTTTTGTGGCTTCTTTCTGCTTCTCTGGATGAAAAATTCATAAGGAGCTGCCTTTCATTTTCCTGTTTAGTGTAGTTACTACAATTAAAATTACATGGAATGTCTCCGGTGATTTATTTTGCAGAAAGAATAGATACAATGGAAACTGCAGGATATAAACAGCCTGGCCACTAAGCAAAATACATTATGTATTTCTTAACCTTTCCAATATGTTACAACCTTTTACAAGCAAAAAAGCTCACCTTAGCCACATGAAATCACATACACACACACCTCCTTTTAAATAATCTCCTACCACGGACTACAGACAGGAACGGAATCACCAGATAGGCTAGAAGGGACTTAGAAACTATTTTATTTTATGCTAACAATACATGAAAGCAGTTTATTTTTCTATTTCTTCAAAGAAACATACCATAAAAGGTTTTGCCTTTTTGGTATTAGCAATCAGCGAGTTTAAAACTTAACAGTCCCTGCCCACAAACCAACTGCGAATGTATCTTTGACAGCGTGTCTTCTAAATAGCATCAAAAGGTACTTTCAAATATATTTCATAACTAAGCCATAAAAAAAAGCCTTTAGCTTTCAAACTTTCTGGCTTGAGCAAGCTGATGTTATTTTAACTTATTTAAATTAAAATACAGTCGTAAGATTACATCAGTCCAATTAAAGTACACTGCATGTGGTGATTCTACTTTACAGTTCACTTACTATTATATTAACTTGAACCCTTTGGGAAAACAGAGTTGAAAGGCAAATCTGATGACATATTTTGAGCTGGGGAATTTCTGAATTAGCTTAGAAAATGAGGAAGTACAGGCACAGCTTGTACAGAAACAAGCTACCCAGGGCAGTGGTCATGGCCCCAGGCCTGCTAAGTTCAAGAAGCTTTTGGACAATGCTCGTTGGGTTTGCATTTTTGGTAGTCCTGTGTGGAGCCAGGAGTTGGATTCAGTGATCCCTGTGGGTCCCTTCCCTTGAGCCATTTTATGGTTTTGTTCTAAGTATCTATACAAATAGGGAAAATCAAGATTGAAAACATGCAGACAAGTATTTTTAAAGTAATCTGTAGTCTGCATGTGGTAAAATGGTTCAAGGTCAGGGGCCAGACTGTTTGCTGCATTTCTTTAAGGCAGTGCACAGAAGGCAGAGGACCAAGGGGGATGGAACAGTTTGAAAGAACAGAGAGGGTATGACACTTCATCCTGTATTTGTAACTTCCAGATTCTGGGCTGCCTCAAGGTAAAATGCTCAACAAGATCTGCTGTAGTGTATGGCAGCTTCTTCACTGCTGTCCACAAGCTGCTCTCCAGCCCAGGGCTGAGACAGCATACTGCTCTAAACATATTTTTCCCTAGTGAGAGAGAATAAGAGTGCATACATGCTAGTCCTACACGGGGTCAACTTAATCCTTACTTCAGCCTCTGTATACACCTGGAAATACTATGTCAGGATTAGCTGTCATCTCTTGTAGATTACAGTGCATGACTGCCTTAAATAAAGTGATTCACAAAGGAGGTTGGTTCAAACCAAACACAGGCTGGTGGAAACGTTTACCTGAGATGAGAAGACACTACTGACTGACTGCAAATTGCAGTGATAATGCGTGTTTAGCTATCTTCCCATCTTAAATTCACATGTAGAAAGCATTTCTCAGCTCCGCAGTACATTATATATATTATCCAATATTTCTCTTGTATATGAACACAACATTTATTGATTGCAAGGTAGAAATGTCTCCTTAAGGAAGAGTACAAAACTGTTTGCAAAACCAGTTTTGCTTTGACACATGACTTAAATAAAGACATTTTATGTCATAGGAATGTGACCTACCTTCTTAGTCTGATTCACATTTACCGAACTGCAGCTTCAAAATGCCTTTACCATGAAGCTGAAGGATCTGGTTGTATTCTTTGGGCATTGCATGGAAACCTGGTTTGGGCAGCTGGTTGTCATAATAGTGGTGGCTGATTGGCATCTTCTCTGTGGATTTTGAGAAAGGCCAGAAGCCGTAAAGCTTCACATTCTCACACAGCTCAACAGCAGCACTAGTGATCATAAAACCAGATGACAACCGGTAGGCTTTCACACCCTTAGTTCTCCAGAACTGGGCAAGACTTTTCAGATAGGTGGGGTGAAAAAATATTGCCCTTTGGGTTGCTTTGAACTCTTGCAGAGTATGATAGACTTTAAAAGAAGTAGCCGTGTTGCTTCTGAACGAAAATGCTGGCAATAAAAGGAAAGCATCTCCATAGACTGCAACATTCTCCACAAATTCGGTCTTTTTTTCATTTAGTTTGTTGTATCTGCAAGCACAATATTTTAGGAAAAGAGTGAATGGAATACACTATGAAGTAAATACATTACAGACCAAAACTGCATAACTGCACTTGCATATAGGATTTGTAAACCCTTCTGTACCAGTTCAGCCTGTCTACATTGTGAATTTATACTGATCTGTTACAACTTGTCACATGTGCTCTGAGGAAAAATCTGCTCTTTTGTATAATAAGAACACATTATATATGATTGATTTGGCAACACAGGAGTTACTGAAGAAGAAAAATTCACAGCTAAGGAATTGAGGACCCATTTACAGAAGTGGCTGATTCAAAAAATTTTGAAGGAGAATTCAAAAAACAAAAATGAATCATCCTCTGCTTAAGAATACTTCCCTAATGGCATGTACTGCATGTATCTGTGGAAAGTATTTCTTCCATCAACATGTCGTAATAAGTCCTCTTCAAACCCTGGGTGTCTGCCTTGTGTGGAAATACCATTAAGCACATGAGCAGGGTTTTAGCTGCTTTTGACATGCTTTTAAAACAGCTGAAATACAGGCATGTCTATTTATTTCCTTTGACAACAAAGGGAACAATGGTGCTAATTTCACAGGTGAAGAAGATTTATACTCAGTTGATTTGGTTCCCTAACAGTCAGCAAAGAGACATTTTTCTCATCATCAAATAATGCAGTGCTCCCAAATACTGAATGTTACAGAGTGATACAAGACACAAGGGTGCCTCTCAATTAATTTACTTTATAGGTCTTAGTTGTCTGAATCATCCGAACATATGGCACTTCCAATTCCTTTGGGTTTCAAAACACTCAGTCCTCTTTTTTTGGCAGCTACACATGTGAGCAGTGCACTTTAACCTCTTATTGGCTACCAGAGACCACTGTTCACAAATGGCTCTATTTCCAGAAAATGGAAAAAGTATTTTCATTTCTCTTTGCAACTTGAACACTTTCAAACTCTCTTCTCATGCAGAACTTCAACACAGAGGACAGCAGCTACTGCTATTTCCAATCAAAACTCTCACTGTAGTTAACAATTCCTCTTGCACAATTGAACTTATGCAAAGAGAGAGACAACCAGTCTCAGTCTGAAGGGATTTAAACTTACAGTTTCTGCTTCTCAGAAAAATCCCATTACCAGCAGACTCTGAAACACAATGAATGAGAGACTCTCAGCCCCTCCTGCTCAACCTAGTCCCCTGTGCGTCCCAGAGCCATGTGGTGAAAGCAAGCAAGAGTCCTGAGCTTATTGCTAAGGGTGAACTTCTGGCCTCTCCTCCCAGAATTATCTTTGTTTTCACTCAGTGTAATATGTATAGAAAGCCTTCAGGTCAGAATTCAGATGTCTGTACTTCCTTCTTAGCTAGAAGCTGGAACTTTCTTTCCTTTCAAGTGTTTCTGCTATAAGGTGTGGTGTAGCCCAGCTGAATTAGGACACACAATAATTGTGCTTGATTCTTGCAAGAGAGTCTGATAACTTTTTGGCTTGCCTGGACCACGTTGAGTGAGGAGGAATTGTCTTGGGCCGATGTTTTGGTTGTTTCTGAGTGAGTAGTGTGCTTCAAGGCCAGGCCTGGTTGCTCTGCATGAAAGTGACACTGCCATGATGGCACAGCAGAGCATGGGGCGGGCTGCAGGACAGGCTGGACTGCATGCAGTCCAGGGGCCAAAGGTTGGACATGCCTGGAGTTTAAGAGGTAACATCAAAGTAACTCAGTGCTGAGACACAGAATTAGAAATCAAAGTGAATCAAGTAAGAAAAGGACTTCTAGATGAGAAAACAAAGTTAGCTCTGCTCTGTGTTGCTTCTAGTCCTTTCCTCTTTCTAAAGCTTTAAAAGTCTTCTCTGAAAATTTAAATAATCATTTTTTTCAAATCCTAAAGGATTTGTAAACTTCAAGGTTGCTTAATTTGGCTAAAAAAAATGAGTGCACCTATGGCAGAGGGTCAATGGTCTATGGATCAAGGTCAGAGAAATATTATAGAATCACAGAATCACAAGGTTGGAAAGGACCTACAAGATCATCACACACTAGGTCAACAGTCACCAGTGAAGCGGAGTCACTGAACCAACTTTTACTTCTCAGATTTTAGTGCAGCCCCACTAACATCAATGAGCTAAATCTATTTTGGGGCAAGCTACAGCTCATCATTTAAGTTAAAAGAGCTGGGTAGCCATCTAAGAAGTTAAGTCTTATTGCAAAAATTCTGTTTATATCCTGAAACAATGGCAAATGCCTATTAGTCATTTCTGTGCTTACTTTACCTTTCCTTCTGTCTTCTAACAAAGGAGAAGAAGAATCGAAACAAGCTTTGCCTGATGTCTATTTGACAAATACCGATACAAGAGACAATGAGACACAGTAAGATCAGTAAGCAGCAAATAACATGCCATGGCAGTCCTTCTCATAGATAAGCTGCAGCTCCAGACTGCTGAAGATGTCTGAAGATGTTGGATTAGTCAGGCTGGCCTTATTAGATTTTCTTTTCATCAAGGAAGTAAAAAAAACTACTGAGAAAAGAAGTGACCAGTGTGGAATGAAAAAACAGATTGCAGAGGTTGGGCGTCCATTTAGAAAATATCCTTCATCAGAACAGCTCTTTAACATATTAACTAGGAACGTGTGTTTACAGTCCTGCTGATAGAGCTGAACACACATTTCCAAGCTTTCCCAATTTATTATTGTAATTCCTTTCTTACATTATGGGGTCATAAAGGTCATGGAAGGAAAGGAAGCAGCTTGGGCTTGCAATCATCAGTTTTGCTTGATTATAAAGTTTGGACTGGTGCCAACCAAGTAACTTGCTAATCTGGGTACTGCTGACTCCTTTCTGCTAAAAAAAAGACCAAGCATAATAGATTTCCATTTAGAATAGTACATATTTTACATGGGAACTAAAGCTCATTAATGGAGTAATCAGTATGCACTGCTTCTATGTTGTTATCTCAATGGATTTTTAACAAAGTCTAAATCACGTCAAGCAATTATATAATATTGCACAGAAACAGAATTTCAGTCTTACTTACTTCTGAGCTATGATACTTGGATTAACTGTCACCAGATTTGTTTTATTGCCAACATCTTTGCTAATGCTTCCCATTGTTGGAGGGAGGTTACACCTGAAATTGAGAAACATTTATTTAAGCAGATGCTTCACAGTATTTATTCGCAAATTCCGCTGTTGTGCAATGATGCTTTCATGCAGCTCTCAGGAACCCCTAAGTACTTTACAAATATTAAATAAGCCTTACAGCACTAGCACTTTTGGTAAAAATAATAATAATAATCTACTGTACAGATGGTTAAAATAGGGCATCGAGAGCTCATTTTCATAAACCATCTCACAAATCAGAGGCAGAGTTAAAATCCTGTAAGGAGACAGTCTATGAATGCCCCATGTTAGCTGCCTGAAAATACTGCACCTCTTGCCTAAACCATGCATTTAATCTGCAAAGTTTTCTATCATTTGCTGTCTAAAAAGATTGATTGATACCAATCCCTCAGTTGGCACAGCAACGCTGATGGCTGTTTCATGAGATAATGGCAGAACTCGCTCAACTGCAGAAAGAACGGTTTTGGTTATAAGGAAAGGAGGTGTGACTTTTGAAGTCACACATTTAGGTTTAGCATGTTAGTATACAGAATTCTCACGTATTAAAATCAGTTATCTAATTGGAAAGATTTTTTAAAATTATCTGAAAAGCCCATATATTACTCAAGATCAGGAAAGGAAACAGAGTCAATGAGACCATGTGATTGGTCATGGTTGAGAGAAGTATTTTGGTTAGTGTTTCCTTGCAGCAACAACAATCTCTCACCTGCACTGAATGAGTGGGCCAAATTTTGTACTGAATTTGCCATTTTTTACCACATTCTACAGAGGGAGCTGAAGAAACAGGATGAGGCTTTGAACAACTTGATCTAACCATAGATGTCATAGGAAGACTTAGGTTGGAAGGGACTGAAAATGTCATCCAGTTCCAACCCTCTGCTGTAGACAGGATTGTCATCCACCAGATGAGGCTGTCCAGGGCCCCATCCAGGCTGGCCTTAAGTGCCTCTAGGGATGGGGCATCCACAACTCTAGGCAGCCATGCCAGTGCCTAAGCACCCTCTGAGTAAAAAATTTCCACATAATATCTAACCTAAATCTCTCCTGTTTTAGTTTAAAGTCATTAAAGTCATAAAGCCACCCCTCTTATGATGCAGCCGAGGATACAGCTGGCCTTCTGGGCTGCCAGCACACACTGCTGGCTCACATCAAGCTTTTCATCCTCCAGAACCCCCACGTCTTTCTCCACAGGGCTGCTCTCAATGAGTTCTCCCAGTCTGCACACGTATCTGGGATTGCCTTGGCCCAAGTGCAACACCCTGCACTTGGCCTTGTTGAACCTCACTAGGTTCCCACCCTGGGCCCACTTTGCAAGCCTCTCTAGGTTCCTCGGGATGGCATCCCTTCCTTCTGCTCTGTCAACCGCACCACCCAGCTTGGTGTCATCAGCAAACTTACTGAGAGTGCACTTGATCCCACTGCATGTTGATCATATCTGTTCATTGCAGAGCAGTTGGATTAAATGATGTTTAAAGGTCACAGATCCCTTCGAACTCAAACGATGCTACGACTCCATGAAATATTATTTAAATCCGATGCTCCCAGATGGTAAGACAAATACTGGGGCAGTTAAGTAACTGCATTAGTGACCCAACCTGTGACTAGATAAACCCATTGGCAAAAGTAAACATGGTATTTAATAACAGACTTGTTTTAATTTCAGAGAGTTTTTTTACTATCATCTCCTTATTAAAAAATAAAAAATAAAAAAAATTCTCTTTATTTAAGAGTGTTGATTGAAAAGAAATATCACATTCTCAGATAATCAAGTTTTACACTACTGGCAAGGTATCCTTGTAATTTTGGATTATATATCTATCCATAAAATCCCTTTTTTACTAAGGAAACAGGGTCCTTAAATCTATAAAGCTGGAGGAGTGCCCTTTGAGAGGTAGATCTCTCATTGCTAAAAACTGGCATTGGCAAGCTTGCTAAGCTTGTAGAAATGTCCAACAGCCTTCAGAGAGATGAAGCAGCTCTTACCTAAACACAAAATCAGAACGATCGATTTCAGCTCCACAGCTGGAATTTTTCAGAATGCCTCCATTTCCAACCACAGCACAGTTCTTGAAGGGATAAACTGAAAGAGGAGAGGACTGCAAACAAATAAAAAGACACAGTGCATGCTTAATAAATTTTTTGATTGTTTCTTTGTGCCTTCAGTCATTTGTCCTTGCAGCTCTAATCTCGTAAATCCCAGTGGAAGCATCCACCATTTAGCAGACTGCATTGCCAGGCACAGACGGCCAAAAGCCAAAAATAGTCACCAACAGACTGAAAACCGCTACTTCTGTCTTGGGTGTTTTGATGGTGTAGTGCCAGACCATTAAAACGGGATGAATGTAATTTACATTGGTGTGATGAAAAAAACCTAGTACTGGATTGAACCTGTGAAAAGCTATGGAACTAGCTCCTACTGAAGATAGCTTAAATTCTCCCATTTTCCTTTACACTTAAACAGACAGGGAGTTGTCACATTGTCATCGTCTATGTCAGCTAATAGAAGGTAACCTTGCAAATGCTTATTTTGTAATAAGTTGTGTTTTTCTGTTTTTTGGGTTTTTTTTTTGTAATACTAGGTTGCTGTCTTGCCCTGGGGAACCTGAAAGAGACCTTAGTGCATCCACTTGTGATCACAACTCAGCAAATTAATGTAAATTGTTGATTATTTCAGCTGATATTAATTTAGTTGGTTATTATCCCATGGTGTCAGAAACTTCTCATGCGTCTCATTCATTCCCCCCTGCTATAGGAGCACAGACATTCAATAGAGAAAGCCAGCAACAGGGCTACTTCAACTGCAGAAATTGAATCTACATGTAAAAGTGAGTCAAAACTTGCTTATATGAAGTATTATCCCTCCTGATATTCTCATCAATTTGCTCAAAAAAAAGCATAAGGTGGAACTGTTATCAACAAGGTAAAAAGAGCAGGGAAAATGGCAGATGTCATGTTGCCTGGCAACGTATCATTAACCATGTTCAAGTATCCTGTTTAATTCTGAAGACAGTAGAAAAACACAGAGGACAGAGAACTGTGGCTAGTCTAGCAAACATACACTAAGAAATACTACACTTTTTCTTTCATTTGGAACCTCTGTCACCTCCTCCATTTCTTTAGTGATTCACAGCAGCATAAGAAAGCACTAGGCTCATCACACAAATCACAATTAGATAGGACATCCTGTCTTTGAGTTCCCAGAACAGTCTCCCTGTGCTGAGGCACAGGTCCACGGGGAGGAAGAGAGATTTTCTCCATATTGTTGAAGTAGAGTTGCAACCTCCTCCATTGTTTTTTTCATTATCATTCCAGAACGTTGCTGTAAGTGTGCTGGCATATGATGACGGTGTGCTCCATACACATTTTTGTCACAGATTGCCAGCACCTGACATCATCTGGATCTTGAGATAACTGGTCATTGTCTAGGTCAATATTCTACATCACCTCCAGCATAGCTAATTCCCTCGAGTAGTAGATACGTTTCTCCACAGTGGTCCATTTACCTGGGAAATGTACCATGTCCTCCTTAGGGTGAAGGCTTGAATCCCTTATCCAATTGCTTTGTTAATGACTCCTTCCCTAGAAAAGGATTCCACTTGCCTGGCATTTATGCCCACTAAGTCCAGGCTACTGACCCCATTATTCCACACCGGAGCAGCCAGGTGACAGTATGATCTCCTGGATCACGGCTGAGGTCTTTTCGAATGTCTCGAAGGGGTCAGACTGTTTTTGTCTTATGAATGCTGGTTCTTTCTCCTCCTGTCCTTATGATAGCTCTGCTTCATTTTCTTCCACCCTTGTTTTAGTTTCTTTCCCTACTAAATGAGTTGGCTTTTGTAGCCATTTATTTGCTGTTTATATAGAGGCAACTGATAGTGGCACAGGTTGGTTCTCTAGTTGAACTACAAGGCCTGTTACAGGGCACGGAGCAATAGCTGGGCCTGTTCAAATCCAGCTATCTTTTTCCCTTTAGGGTGCTGTATAGCACTGAATGGGTCTCAGTAAAAACGGACCAGGTCCCAGCACACTGCAGCGATTTTTGTCTCACCAGGATTGCCAAGGCAACAGCATACCTCTTCCAAATTCGTCAGGATTCTGCAGTTGTTCAGGGGTGAAATTTCAAAACACTGTGGGTGCCCACTGCTTTAGGTACCCACTCATATCAACCCCCACTCTCTGCCACTCATAACTATCCAGCTTTGGGACAGACCTCTGGAGGATTTTCATAAATAGTTGTTTAACCTTAAACAAAACCTGAAGTACTTTAAGTAGGCATAGCATTAGATGCATACTGATTTGAACATTACCACTTGCCTCCACCATAGCCTGGCTCCCCGAGGAGGCCAAGTAAAGAGTGAAATTATTAATAGTTTCCAAGATACGGTTTCCAAAGTATGAAGATTACTGAAATATCAAATACAAATATCAGATTAGTTTCGCAACCAGTGTTACAGAAGAACGATAACCTTAGTCCAGCCCCCAAGAGATGGCAAACAGTGCATCAGGGATCGTATATAGCAAGTAATATGGTTCCATGAAAAAACTGACAGATCTCCAAAAATAATAAAAAAATAACATTGTGACCAGCAACTATTAAATTACTGTCACGCTTGTTACAGTTTTGTTTTAACAAGCTCTCATCAGATCTGTTGTCATCTCAACCCTTCAAGCTTGCCAAAAAGACTGTTGAAATTTAATCCAGCAAGTAGCTCAACACCCTATAGTCATTTGTTTGCTCCTCCCCAGGTAGAATAAGGAGAGGACTAGAAACAGCTAGGGGGGTTGATAAAAATTATTCGGAAAAACAGAAGAAAACAGAAACACAGCAATAATTAAATATACATATATGCAATTACCCACCAACCAATGCTCCACTACCAATGTTGGCCAACCAACACACAGCTAACCCACAAACAGCAACCACCCCCAAAGCCAGCTTGCACCCATGCTGTGGAATAACCCCAGCCACCTCTTCCAGCTCTGTTCCACCCCTCTCTGCTGCACCATAAAGGCAGTGGCTCTTCCTCACTGAGTGGCCTGGCTCAGCCCTCTTAGCACTCAGAAACAACCAAAGCATGGTGCAGCATTAATGTCAGCTGAAACCAGGACACCTTTGTCTGATTTCTAGATCTTATATCTCTGCTAAAAGACCCTAGCTACAAAATCTAATTCCTTTGCTCAGTCCATGTTTCTGTCTGCAAAGACTTCATCTCACCATCAGATTTATCCCCAAAACAGCCTCCACAAGTGACAAGCCTTAGCCTTCAGGAGAAATAGCATGGGAATACCAGGAATATGAAACATAGCTCAAAACTGAAATGTATTTAAAAAATAAGAATGAAAAAAAAAGCAACCTTCCTCAATTCTTCATCCTTGAATTCAGCTGACCGCCACGACAGGCAGCAGCTTGGGTTCTATAGTAGCTCTACCTGCAACCAGATCAATGATGTGCTGTTCATGCCTATACCGCTGGCAAAGGAAGGCTAAAAAAAAGTCGCACAAAGTGAAAGAGGAAAAGCATACAGGGCAAAGGGGCTCTTCCAGAGAAATAAAAGAAAGCTGCTCTATTACTATTCCGAAGTATATACGATACTGTAATTATAATAACAGGCAAGGATACAGTTCTTACCACAGGCAGCATTCTAAAAATGTCTTCTGTAATGAGGATGGTCTTTTTACTGTCCACTTCATAACTCATGTTACTTCCCAGTGGGGTGTTGTTTTGAGAAGCAATAAAATTGTGAACTGCATTACAGCAGGAAGCTAACTCTGACCTGAAAAAAAAACAAACCAAACCTGCTCAAAGACAGGCAAATAAATAGAAGTGAGGTGGTAGAGAGCTAGATGAATGAAAACCATTTCTATCTAACTAAGCACCAAAAGTCTGTATGAGCCCTCTATAGGAATGTCATTTCCTTTCACTTGCAAGCCCAATTTCACAGCAAATATTCAGAAACTAATCAATTCAAGAGAACCTTCTTTTGAATGGCAATTATTTAAAGCTGTAATTCCTATAAGCTAACTGTATTTCACAACAAGGTTTCTGAAATCATTTGGTAAAGAACAAAGTATTTCAAGCAACAAATGTCCATAGATTATTAACAACCAGAGAAAAATCTTTATGTTCCCAACAGCTGTTCAGGTGTTGTCTGCCTTGGGTATTTGCAGGCATCAGCTCATTCGAGCTGTTGTACTGAAGACAAAAAAAGATTGTGAAATTTTGTAATGAGATTTTCAGAAAAAAAGAACCCATAAAATACCTGCAATATACCAGAAAAATTTAAAGGATTCAGTCACAAACAGTGAGGGGATATTTTATCTATGCTTACTTATGCAATCCTTTACAATGGGCAAGAAATTGCCTTACAGTACTGCTCTGGGGGCTCTACAACAGTGGGTTTCTCCAAGCTTCTGACCAAGTCAATAGCACCAAAGTGCAACAAGGCATATTAAGAATTATTGCAATCTTTTAGAAAAGAGTGATTAAATATATCTGAAACAAAATGTGGTGAAGGGATATGCCACACTGACGAGCCCTTGAACTCTTCATAAATGTAGTATGTCATACATGTCTAAGGCAATGAAATGCAAGGGTGAACCTGAAACCAGGGCTGAATATGCAAAAAGTGTAATTGATTTTTCAAACAAAACATTTGGAAAAAGTCAACCATAAAAACATAACAAAATCTAATGCAAAATTAGTTTCTTCTTACAGGAATTCTTCAATCTTTAGGAAAGTATGATGTCTGCAAAGCAATTAACAGATTCATCCATTTCTCCACAGTGTCACCTATTCCCATCTCTTGTCCAAGCCTTTTTCTTTTCTGAAATGGAAATAAGTCTCTGATTTTACCTATGCTCTATTAAACACGAAGCAAATGCATTCTTAAATCACACAATGATCTCGGAGTTCTATGTTTTTTCATATATACTGGAATGGAAGATTTCAGAGAATACAGGGGAGTTATTGATCTGTTTAGTGTTAGGAAAGCTATTGATTATGTGGTGGTGTGAGCTTATGTAAGCATAAATTGACCTTGAAGGGTATTACATTTGTGTTCGGACTATGTTTTGTTGCAGTACACAGATGTGTTAAGCAATACTGCTACAAATCTGTGTAACATACTAAAAATTGTTCCTTTCAAGTAAGAGTGGGATCTCATAACCTCCAAGAATGCTTCACAGCCTTTTCTGAAGAGATAATAAAGCGGGAAAATGTTAATAAATTTTGAGTGAAATAAAAAGCAGGAGGGTAGATTACAGGACTAGGAAAATGGATTGAATTCAACTATTTCTTTCAATATCTTGGGTTCTTTTGAGTTTTGTTTTTGTTTTCTGTTTTTTGTTTTTAAATAAAAACTTACAAATATATTGGCAGGACTGAAATATTGTGCTGGCTAAGTTGTGATATAACATCTGGATTTTTAAAACCCATTTTATACCCAGGAGTTTCCCTTTCTCTTCATTTTCAGTAAGGAGGGAGGGCAGAGCCTACAGCTATCACAGCATAAGACTGCTCGTGAAGAACTGTTGTATCACCCTGCCAGGCTTCAAGCTATGCAGGATAGCCCAGAAACACAATGCCCAGAGGCTCTTTGAAACAGCATATGCTCAGCCCTTCTCCATACCAACCCTCCCTTCCTCCCCACCCATTTTTTGAGGGCTTTTTTAGCTATTTGCTAGCTTCCAGCAAAAACACGAGTTGTAACTATTTGAAAGAACTGCAGATTATTTGCCACCTTAGGAGTATAGCCCAAAGTAGAATAAATCAAGCTTAGAAGTCTGTAAAGCAAAAGGATGTGGAGGTATAAAAAACAATTACAGCTTGCACCCAATTGGGCTCTGTAATTTGTTGCACTAATGAAACATTTCTTTTAAGTGGAAAACCTTTGAAGAATACTAATATAATAATTAATATTCAAGTTACCTAGGGAACCTGAGACTCTACTGACTGCAGTTAGGAGAGCCTTTGCAGAGGAAGCCACCCAACACAGCTTTTTGTCTGGAGCTTTACGAACAGTGCTTCCAGGCAGCTGTGGGATTTTCTCTATTAGTCTCCCTTTTTCATGCTAAGTCATTATCAGCCTTTTCCTTATTATTAATTGTTACGATTATTATAGAAACACTGAGTCTTCAGCCCCCAAAGAATTAGCAAAGATTTCAATCGACATAGAACAAGTGACTGTAAGAAACTGACGAAAGAAAGAGCTGAGGAGATGAAAGGAATCTCAACGAGAAGTACTGGATATAGTACTTAGTGAACAAATGGGTGGTTGTAAGTCCATTAAATAAGAAGTCATTTCTGCAACTGTTCAGCACAGTTTTCTTGTGCACAATATCAGAAGTGTTAAATCAATCATATCACAATTTCCAAATAAAGGACTGCTATCTTCTCTGAGGTACAGACAGTCCAGCTGTGCTCCAGAATGCTTTTAGAAGTCCTTAAACATTTTTGTTGGAGTCTCTGTCACTCACCTTACAAGTTCTGTTGCCTTCAAGTCTATAAAAATATATATGTATGTTAACAGGATAGGATTTTTACTGAAAAGCAATGGCTAGCCCCATCAGAACTCTGAAATCAGACACAAAACTCTATCATGTATTCAGTTTAGAGAACAGTGATCTCTCTGCTCTTACTGAACCAAATTTTCAGATTGTAAAGCTGAAATACTCATGACCAGGCATTATGCATCAATTGATAGGATACACCTATCTAATCAGGTGCGGCACAAAGAGAGCTATCAACCATTTAGAGAAGAAAATTCATTGACAGTGGAGTTGCTTGGAGCTTTGAGAAAGATAACACGGTAGGGAAAAAATGGAGAGGAATGCTGTATTAAAAAGTTTAAAAAGTTTATTAAAAAATGCAAAACATTGTTCCAAGTCAGGAATGTCCAACCCCCGGGCCATGGGCTGCACGCGGCCCATCACTCAGCAATGACCACAGTGGTGTGTGATTGCACTGGCCTGAAAGCAGGACAAGGGGAGGGCACAGTGCAGTGCTAACTCAAGGTATGGCAAATCACTGTATGCATATTGATAGATCAGCTAAACGTTCCTGTGAATAGTGAAAAATATGCAGCCATGCTTTCTGTTTTGATAACAGAATTTGAGATTAGGTTTCAAGATTGCCAAAAAAAAAAAAATCATAAATTACATGTGACTTTTCAAATTAAATGTATAGAATTGGAGTCAGATATTCAACTCAACTTTTGATCACGTCCCTTTACTAGAATTTTATAAGCCCTCACTTAACAGAGAAAGATATCCTTCATGTCACAGTCACACCTTATTCACGTCATTGCTTTCTGGCAGTATTTGCAAACAACTATTTTCAAGGGTGAAGCACAGGAAGAGTAAAATTTTATCAGAAGTCACTGACAAACACCTTGAGAAGTCACTAAGAATGACAATCACTGTCATAAAAACAGCCTGATGCATCAGTTTCACAAAAACAAGGTCAAATATCCCACTAGTTTTATGTTTCTGTTGCCCTCTTTTTTATGTTTTAATAAAAGAAAAAGAATAATTTTTGCTACTTACATACATTAACTATATTATATGTTTTGTATGCAGCCCAAGCCAATTTCTCTTCATTCAACGTGGCCCAAGCAAGCCAAAAGGTTAACCATCCATTTTCTAAGTAGGAGGTGTTCAACAAGCATCTGTACAAATGAATGCTTGTTTGCAAAATGAATATCATGTCACTCCTGTTATACAGCATTTGCTCATTATCCAAGCCAGCAATGCTTACACAGTCATACCTATTTGTGGATCTTCAGTTGCACTCAGTCAGGAATTGAAAGACCACATAGAATAGATAACTGTACGCAAAGTAAGAATGGCAATCATTTGAAGCCTGATGCTAAGGGTATTTCACACCATGGTTTTAGTATCACTTGAATAAAGGACAAAGTGTTTTAAGCAACAAAGGTCAGTAGATTGCTAATAATGGAAGAATTTTTTTTCCCCAATACCTTGTTTTAATTGTCACCACACTTGGATATCTGTCTGTAATTAGCCAATTTAAATATTTTCTCTGTGTGTCAGTAGCATGTATACAAATGCTGAAGAATTTCCCTAAATCACTTATTAGGATGCCATTTATACCAGTACACTAACAGCATTGCTAGGTATATATACATACACCACCTTTCCTAGCATCTACTGTTGGGTTAGATAGGAGCTCCTTAACAACAGGTGACAATTTTATGGGGCACTCTGAATCTTAACTGGATTTTGGGAACAATAAACCATGTGCTCCCATGGGCTTCTCTGAGGGCAACCCAAATCTAGCAGTACTGATATCAGCATTACAGATACTGAATTAACTGTAGGTCTGAGAGCCAACAGAGGCTGGACAAAATCCACCACAAAAGAGAGGTATTAAAGGTATTAAAGAGGAAATCATGGTTTGTACTTGCCTTATGACTCTTTTTGACTTTGAGAAATGCATGGGTAAACAGCACACAGTTGCCAAGAACCACTGAGTACTGCCAGATAGCAATGCAGTCCAATACATGTGAGCACATATGCTGGAGCAGCTTATTAGACAACATTTGGAAAGAGAGAAAGACAGCTCTCTGACAACAAAAGGAAAGAGTTTGCACAGCTGCATGGCAGAGCTGAGCTAGGCAGGGGAGGGTCAACCTAGAATCCTGCACTCTGCGTTTTGTATAATGCCACAGCACAAACACAGTGGCTTGTGCAAAGTAGGGCTCTCAGACACATCCATTCTGACAGTACATAAAGGCAAGTATTTCCTTCCTGAATTGCACTTCTAGTTCATATTCTGTTTTTTTTTTTTTTTTGTGGCATTTTTTGTTGTTGTTGCTTTGTTTTGTTTTTTGGCTTGGATCTGCTGGGAGTTCTGTTTACAAGGAGAAATGATGTGTACTCGTTGGCAAACAACGCTGTCTTCTAGGAAGAGTTTCTGCATTGGATCACATATTCATTCACCCCACTACTACTGTGATAGTAGCCAACAGCAAAGGCTGCAAAGGAAAACACAAGAAATCAGCTTTCAGAAACTCACTACCCCTGGGAAGTTTCTTTTGAACCTTATAAATTAGAGGTTAGTTCATGCCCTGGAGCATAAAGCTTTAAGTCTCTTATAAATATTCACATCTCTTCTTTAAAATTTCAGCATAATACCAAAATGCTCTGCAATTGACACCACACCTGAGAAGTGTGTAAGTGTTCACTCCATTTAACAGATGGGCAAACAGGGAAGGGAGTCAAGCAGCTTCTCTGTAGTCTAGTCAGCAGGCAGATTTCCAGTGGCTCTGCAGGTGAATAATGTGACAGGCAGCTTCACACTCTACTCCTGAAGGTGGCTAGCTGAATTACCCAATTCCTGCTGCACAGCCCCTTTGAGATTAATTTCCTCTTCTGCAAAATGTGTGTTTATCTACCCACTTAATGAGATTTTTAGAATTGAGTAATATTTATATTATACAATTATTATGCATTACTGATACTAGACAAAGTTAGAAAAAGGACGAGATGCACTGCCAAGGGATTGTTAAATCATTAATTTCACTGCATTTCTAGAAGCTCTGTAATCCATAGAGCTCCGTCAATGCATCATTTCTCAGCTAGAGAGTCCTTTTAAAGCCAGTTCCAGGCTCTTGTGCTTAAGTCAGATAAACACATCTGGGAGTACAGTAAGCATGGACGGATACTGATTTAGTCAGTAAATTTTATACTGAATTTCCTTTGCTTTATTTTTTTTCTTCTTCAAAAGCTTGTATTGACCAACTGCTGGGAAACTGGAAGCCTTGAAAGTCTCCAGTATGGTCTGGGAGTGAGGACAATTGTACAGCTTTAATATCCTGTTCCCAGAAAATGAGTCAGAGAGAACAAAAAAAAGAAAAGACTTATGCAAAAGTACACATCTTTTGAATGATAATCATCAGCAACACCTGAAACATCGAAGTACCAGTCCCTGGTCATATCGACAGAACATTTGAATGATGTCAAAGCAGGTCAAATTTCATAGAGACTGCCTTCAGTACTCCAACACGGTATGAGTTATTATATATATATGTTGGTTAGTATTCTGGCAAGTTTAGATGTAAAATAGCTTTGAAACCCTAACAGCAGAACCTTTGAATGTCAAAGAAGTAACAGAATTTGTCCAGCTTGTGCTGAACTATGAGTTGCAAAAAATGTTTTTCACTTGATGTTAGAGCTAAGCTAAAGCTAGCAAGCTCACCTTAGTGTAAATACAGTCCATTTTCTAGGTGGCTTAATGCACCCCACAGTTTGCTCTTAAGTACAATTCCATTCCGATTACTGGTTTTATAAGCCACCTTGGTCACTTACGACCCAAACTCCTTGCCAGAAGGCAAAAAAGACAGCAAAAGAAATAGTAAACATCTTGAACTAAAAGTCCAACAGTCTTATCTAAGATTTTAGAGAAAAAGTGTCATGTTCCATACTCATAGGTGTGGAAGATGTAGAAGTTGCCTCAGCATAAGGGAAATTGTGGAAACAAAAAATGAGGAAGAAGCCAAGCTGGAAGAGGGACTGGTTGCTATGACATTGACTCATGTATCTAGCATAGACAAAGTGGCAAATTTCTCTTAAGTTGTAGCTGGTTCATTGAGAAGAAAGAGAAGTTAAAAAAGAATAAACATGACAACAAAAGCCCTAACTTTAGCAGACAAAAGTCATTTCACCTCTCATCAGTTCTGTACAAAACACCTGCCTATTCTGACACAGAACACACTGCTTCAGCAGCTTCTCATCATGCTCTGATATCTCTGTGCTAAGCTGAAGCCTGCCTGAGTTAACTGAAAGTTTCATAAACCTTAACTCTGTGTAATATGCCACTGATACACAGCAAAGACAGCAAATTATGTTGCATGAAAAGCTGTACTTAAGCCCCTCTCTCCCAACAAACCACTTCTTCCACTAGTGTCACAAGCTGAGCATGTAGGTTATGTTTACAGTGCTAGTCAGTTCCAAAGACTTGGAAGGCAGGAGAGTTTACTCATTTTTAATGATCTTGACAGAATCTTAACTCTAATCCATGTGATAATGTAATTCAAGAGAGTATTTCCTCTGGAGAAAATAGAGTTGGCACAGGGAAGCTGTTCTCTTAACACAGCATGATGCATTTCCAAATGAACGGGGAAGCTTTTCATAGATCACTGTCCCTACTGAGCACGTACTTATGTGACGCCCTGAACAAGGACAGATTTAGTCATGTGCTTACATGCATGAGGACCATGACATACACAGCCAAACTAATGAGTGCCTAGGGCACTTCTGCAGTAGAAGCAATAGCCTTGGGGTGAGAAGCACGCTGCTTCATTGCAGAGTCTTTTACCAAAGTGTGAGTTCAGATGGATAACATCACATTCATTTTCTTTAATACCTTAGGATTTGACTCAGCGATAATTTTAATCCATTCTATATAAGTTAGCTAACTATTCATTATAGTAGAGACAAGTGAAATTCCTTTATTTTTGTAGATCTTTTTCTTACTCCATTTGCACAGCTCAATTCAAATAAAGGAGAAGAGCACTAGAATCAAAAGAATAATAGAATAATAGAAATTTATAACTGCAAATGCAGTCTGAAAGCAATACCAAATTATCTTTTTAAAATGGAAGATCTAAATATATTACTTGTTAGACTAATCCAGGGTAAACAGTTTTCCAAATGAGGCAATTAAAGTTACCTGAAATCTGCTGATTCTTCTGGTCTCCTCATCCAGGTGCAGTTCTTCAGTTTTTTGACTATGTGAAGATAATAATCTTCTGGATACCTAAAACAGGCAACGACATCAAACACTAGAATATGTATGTATGTATATTTAGAAACAGTCTCTAAAACATTCAAATGATGCATGTATTAATAATAATGCGCACGGTGCATATATAATTGTTTGCTTTTTGAACTCCATGGCCTATTTTATTTCTGTAATTTGTAACAGTACTGTCTCTGTTTAATTAGCATGACCTATTAAACATCAATTTCTTAACAGTGATGTCTAACAAACTTTTCACACACTTTCAAGTGCTGCTGTTTCAAACTTTAGTGTTCAGCCGTGCATATCTTGAAGGTTTGGACCCCTCAAAGGTTCTCTCCCCTGCAGAAGTCCAAAATACAAAACCTCTGTTTCTTGTATTTGTTGTTTTTAACTTCAAAAATGTTTTGACATGCAGTTCTTGCAAATAAAGACTAAAGTTACAGTTTTCTCTCTCACCTCATACGGTCCCCAAAGCTCAACTCAGTCATCTTATGCTGTAAACCAATATTTGCAGATATGTTTTCCTTCAAACTATATCTTAAAAACAATCTGTTTTACTCTGCTGAGCACCAGCAGGGTACATGTAACCAAAGAATTTTCTGCTTTTTTAAAGGATCAAAGGAACAAAGGTTTTATGTTTGTCCACATGTGAAATACTGCAGATCACGCAAGCCAAAAGAACGGAGACACTTTCTCCCTGTTAGGTTCAGTGTTAACAGTTCCCCCATTTGCGCTTGATTCCCACTACAGCTTTTTAAAAACAACAGCTCCAATTTAAAGGGAGGATTGGGTGCGTGGAGATAAAAGACAGCGTGGATGTAACCGCTACAAGTCCTATGGGAGTCATGTTTCCAATAAACACCTGCCTTGTAGGATTTCAGCAAATACAGCTTGGTGCTGGCTTCAAACCAAATGATCATGATCTTTCTTAAACTGGAACTTAGAACAGTATATTTTGAACTACCTCAACAAAAAAGGCTGGGAAGGCATGAAACCTCACTTGTTCTTAAATGATGTGTGAGAACTGATAGAAAGGAAAACCAAAAGGTAATGGTGGCTTGCAGCAGAAAAGCACTCAGCACTCTGAAAGCTTTCTTCTATTTCTGTATTCAGCATGTTTAGTACCACAGCTTTACGGTAAATGTTTGAGAAAACAGATCCCTTTTTACTGTTTGTTTGCTCCATAAATTTCTTGTTACTCTGGAGTTAACTGGTCACTTTCCATTTCCACATAGAAACAGAAATTTTTCCACAAGAATTCTGCATTAGAATTGGTCTTTGGCTCAAGGTTGTACCCGTGACAATTTTCACTCTATGCACAAACACAGGAAGCATTTGTATTCATTACCAGACATAGAAAATTCCTACACAAACCACATCACCGTGAACAAACGAATTTTTCCAAGCCCTTGTACCACTGAAGGGAGCAGGAAGGAATGGGCCAAAGTGGAAGCAGAGTACAACTGGCTTCAGTGCATCTGCAGCTGCTCTGACCTGGCATGCTGTGTTCTTTCTTCTTTCAGCTCAGCTACACATCTGTTCTCTTCCTCATGACATGCCTGGTACTTACACAACTCCCAGCCTGTTTTATCAGCTTTTGTACCACTCAAATGCCTTCACAGGCCACTTAATTCACTACCATGGGAAAAAAAAAATAAAAATCAGAATTTGTTTGTTTTAAAAATATACATATACATATATATATATAAATAAAGCACACACCGTGCATATTTTTGGTGTGTTTCACTGTATCAGGAAAGATTTCATAAAACTCCATAGGCAGAATAAATTAGTGATGAGAGTGGAGAAACTGAGAGCAAGGCCTTCCTATTCGGGTAGCTGCCTTCTAGAAGCCTTGCAGCTGCAGCCAGGGAAATGGAACCACTTTCTTACTGAAGCACCTACCCAAATGGGCTTCTGTCTGTGGGGTCAGACAAGTGCCAGCAGCACAGGGCAGGACAGGCAGCAGATGCTGCAGGGGAAGGGGGGACAGAAGCACAGGATCAGGACAGCCTAATGTTGAATCACCCATCATTTACTCCTCAAGGCTAAACAATAAATAAATGTTAGATGCTGGGATTTAGGAGAAAAAAAAAAAATAACAGGATATGGAAAGTTATTTATACTATCATTATCTAGGAGAAAAAAAAAATACAGAAAAAAGCAAATTCTCGCCTAAAGATATCGATAAGATGAATATCAGAGTCAGAAATGAAAAGTTACCAGAAAGATATAGCACTGACTGACAAGTTATTAGCAAGTTGCAGAGAAACATTTGGTGAGAAGAAAAATAAGTGTCTTACACATTGCTGGTATTAAGGCCCCTGAAAAAGCATAGGCACTCACTGTCAGAAGCTGAGGGCCTTCTAGTACATGTACCATAAGCTGTGTACCTGCATATAGGGCAACACCATGTGTTAGAATGCAAACATTGCTGCCCTTCCACTGCTGTCAGCTGGGTGGAATCCCTCTCAGAGGTGGCTGAGGGCTTAGCTGTTCACCTGGAAGCCACACTCCCAGGTCTGTACAACAGGCAACAGCCCTCCGCTCACCCTGTGCCTCTGGCTGTGTTTCTCCTGTGACCTACAGACAACACAGTCCGCCAAATTCCACCTTTGCCAGTGCTGGCTTAGCACCACAAGCATCACAGATACCTCAGCAGCAAACTGTGGGGACAGGAGCTCTGCGAGGCCGCTGCAGCCGCCTACCCCAGCATAAAGGTTCCATCCTGCCAGTTCCATGGGATGAACTCTACTTGAACATAGGCAGTATTCCCACAGATTTTTATTTATTTTTTTAAAGACTCAAAATGAAGTTCTGGAATTTTCTGCAGCTGGGTTTACAGCCCCAAAAGCTTAGTTTTCCTCTCAGAAAGCCTATTTTACTATTTCCTCCTCTGATGGAGCCTCAGGGACTCACTGCAATGGAGTGAGTCCAGAAAGGCCATCAAGACATCATTCCATAGCTCTGCTGTAACCTAGACAATCCTCTTCTCCACTGTTTCATTTTAAAGAGCTGGAACAACACATACATTTCCAGTGGCACCCAGGAGCTAACAATACATATTCACTGATGCTAAAATAACTTCATTACTACGAGGAAAAAAAAAAAAAAGCTATAACAATATGTGGACAAGACAGTGTTGAGAATAGGGAAAGAAACATGTTTGGTCCTGTTTTTGCCTGCCACCTGCATCCTAAACATTAGAATAATTTGCTGCTGTAGGAAACTGACTTATACTGCATGAGCCTCGGTGGCAAATAACCCTTGGAAGGGTTTTATGCCTATGGTAATTGTCAGGTATGCATTGACTGTCAACATTAACTGCAGTGTGTAAAGTGCAATTATTATGTATAGTTGAGGCATTGATGAAGTATCTTCTAATTTTTGGCAGGTAACTAAAGACAACGGCAGGAACAGCAGTGGTGATACAGTAGGGAGACAATAAGTAAAACGTCAGAACAGAGATGGATGCAGCCCGGCTGGCTATTGGTGGAACTATACTTGAAAGAAAGCTACTTGAATTAGAAGGAAAATTGAGCAGCAGGTATGAAAAAGGGATATCTTCCTCCTCGGTGGCTTATGATCGAGGAAGAAACAAATAAAAACAGGAGAAGGAAAAGCCAGAGAAATGGAGGCTGTCTTGTGCTTTCGGACACTTTAATACCACAAAAACAACTATCAGTTTTTAAAGCCCTCAGGAGACCATACACAGAGCTCACTCTAGAATAAAAATGAAAACGTGCCAAAAGAACTCAGCATTTCAGGCTCTTTATCACCACCAGCACAAACCTGTTATACTTAAATAGCATTTTTTACTATCAAATCATTTGACAAGATTACAACTAGTAAGTTTTTCTGGTTCTGGCCAATTTAAGAGACCAGAGTGTCCAGAATGTCCCTTAATGTAAAGTATTTATACACCATGCCTGTGGTCACACATAAAAAAAAGCAGCAAAGATCCCAACATCTCCTCTCAGTGAGGGGCAGTGAGCTGCAGTATTCACAGCACAAAGCAATCCTTTGCTCCTTCATTCCAAATACCAATTTCTTTTCCCACCTACCCAGTTCATCTTCTGCCTCATTTAATGGCTCAGCTCCTTTTTCACTAGCCATAAAATAAAGGTCTGATGCTTTCTTGTTTTTCCTACAAGCAGCTTCAGAATGTTCTGGATGTGAAAAGCAAGTCTGCATTCCTGCAACCTCTACAACTTCATAATACACGGAATAAATAACAGCATTTATACTGCCATAGCTGGATTTTGGAGGCAACACAGTGACTGGTTGTCCTTCTCTTGGTATTAAACATACACTTCAGCTATACTCTTTGACTTCTGTTTCAGCTCTTACTAGAAGTGCAACATTAGCATGGTAGCCTGTCATTTTTCACAAGTTAAAAATTCAGTGATAGTGTTGCTCGTGAGAAGGAATAGTGGTGGGAGGAAACATTTATAGGGGAGAAAAAAAATGAAACAGTAAAGATGGAATCTGGGAATAGGGTGACTTAAACTGGTGAAAGATCTTAGAAAGCAATGAGAAAGGGCAGAAAAATCAGGAAAAGCTTTAAAAATCACAATTTAAAAGTTCTTTAATGTTAAGGAAATTTTGGCTTCTACAGTCCTTTGAATGGAGAAAAGCATGTACATATTTTTAGCAGAGTTTTGGTTTCTCGTTCCATTCCTCTTCATAAATGGAGTAAAAAAATAGCTTCCAATTTTCAAAATACTATAGTACTTAATTTTAAGCTAGCACTTGGTCCTAACGGGATGCTCTTCTTACTTACAATATTATATATATTGCTGCATCCATATAGGCAAGATGTTATATGCCAGAAGCAATGGGCTGCTTCTCCAACTTCTACACTAAGTGGGAGGAAATTGAGCAGAGCCACTAGCAAAGACTTTTTTTCCACATCAGGAAAAGGCAGAACAGCAAGTGGAATCCAGAAATGGATTTGGGGTAGAGAATTTTTCATACATCTAAAATTGAATAATTAGTTCCCTGTGAAGTAGTTACTGCAATAATGAGTGTAATTACTCAATAAGTTTTTGTACTACATATCTATATTTACCCTAGTGAACACAAAGAAAAGAACCATTAACTAATGTTGCTTGTAGCAGGAGTGTTCGCCAGTCAGGAAGAGGACACTTAAGGCTAAAAATTGTATCTCACAAATTCTGGTCTACTTTTTTTGTAAATATCTCGGAATAAAATGTTGCTAGCTGGGAATGAGAAATCTTGTTGACTTATGATTTTTATTTTTATTTCTTTAAATCCAAACTAGAATAAATCTAACAGATGTGAAAGAAAAAATGCAAGCAAACATTGGTTGAACAACTTCAATTTGTTCTTGTGCAGTTCCATGTTACTATCATTAAGAATCATAATTCTTAATTATTCTTAAGAAGCAGACAACCTGTTAGTCTTTATTTAAAACAAACAAAGCAGAAAGCATAGCAAGAACCTACCTTTTCTTCTTGATCGATGATGACAAAATGTTGTCCTGAATTGCCTTACATTTTGCATCCAGTTCAAACTGGTAAATTCCATCTTTATTAGCAGTTGTTCTGTTAAAAAGGTGGAGCGGGAAAAAAAGCAACATACTTTTAAAAAGAGTATATTCTGACAGAGCTGCTGCATTTTCTTTGCTGTGACAATAAGATGAATAACTGTTGATTTAGCTGAAAGCATTACCAAAGGAATTTTATTCACTTCTACTGTGATGCTCTTGTATAAAGGGAGGCTGTGCTGCTAGCGACTATAGTGCAGTTGATTCTTTAAAGAAACTCTGTTTTATAGAATGAATTGTATTTTCTGCTTTACACGGTAATTAGGGAAATGTAATTAAAAAACGAATGAAACAGGAAGCCTCTTGAACATTACAAAGATTTTTAAAATATTCATATTTAAAACATTCTAGTAGATGCAATTTCCTAATGCTGTTGATGAACTGCGATACTCAAAACCAATGTAATATACACAGGAAACACCTCTGAGGAGGTTGATCTTTTTACTTGGACTTAAATTAATTGACTTGAGATTAATACTTACTCCCTTGTTTATTCTTTATTTACACAGAGAGAATAAGTGTTTGTAAAAGGAACCAATGCATGTGCCAGACAATGACCTTTAACTCCCGTTGCCTCATTTTCACCAAAATCATAAAATATTTAAGGCCCTGTGTAGTCCTCATGCTCTGGCAGTCCTGGTAGAAGACTGAGCTATAAATTAGCAAATGACTGAAATTCCAAGCTTATACTCAGTTCACCTCAATTCACCAAGCATCTAGGTTTAATCTCATATAATCACCCTGTTCTTTCATCAAACCTCTGTTCAGTGTATTGCCACTTATCATGAAGTTCTTTCCTCTATCATTTCTACGTTCACTGTTCCTCACCACCTCCACACCACACCTGCCTCACTACTTACAGAGCACTTGGATACTGTGGCCTGTTTCCCAAACCTGAACTAGAAATGCAGGAGACACAGATGCTCTCATTCATGCCTGGGTGTGAGCTGCAGCACCAAACAGAGCCCGTTCCTAGAAGCACAAGGGTCTTCCTGCTTCGTACACGACACAGTCTGCTTCTGCATCCTCATCCTTTAATTAACAAGGATCAAAACTCATTGCCTTCACCTGCTAGAACGCTCAGACTACATATCTACAAGATTTCTGACGAGCAGCTCTTACTTAGGAACGATGCCATTTCAAGTCACAGAGCGACCGAGGTGGACAGGACCCTCTGTGCCCAGGGCTGCCCAGATCAGGTGCCCACACGTGCCCAGGAGGTTTCTGAAGATCTCCAAAGGAGACCCCACAGACAGCCCCTGTGTACCGTGCCAGTGATCCAGCACCCACATAGCACAGACTGCTCCTGGGGAACTCCTGTGTTCCAGCTCATGACCGCTGCCTTTTGTTACACCATTAGGCATCTCTGGAAAGAGTCTGGCTTCATCTTATGTACCCTCCTTGTAGGTATTCATACACATTGATGAGTTCCTCCTGTACACACTCTTCGTAAACAATTAAGATCTTAAACAATTCAAATGGGAAGCAGTCTGACTGAAGAAGGAGCAGAATAAACATTTGTTTATTCTGGTACTAAACTGTCTGGCATTTTCATAGCTATGACAAGGGAAGAAATGTCATAAAGCACCTTTTCTTCTCATTCCATTGCCCATAAACAGGGAGCAGTTCATCCCTGAAGCACGCTGCAGAGAGAGATCAGCTCTCAGCATCTTTCCACCACACATCCAGTGTCCCTGGGGAACGATGCAGTCTGCATGTCCCTTGTTCAAGGGAATGGTAAGAACACAATGTAAACCCCTGTCCTTTCAATTCTGCAGAGGCTGTAACAGACAGTAACAGCTGGCACTACCTGCTGAGAGCTCCATCACCGATTTCGCATTCAGCTTTCTTATCTAATTATTTTCTCAATGAAAGACATACAAATGTGAAGGCAGAAGGCTCTCAAAGCACGCAGTTCAGAGGGTCAGGTACACAGCTCCACAGACCTGACACAGTAAGTGACAGCAGATGCCCTGCTTACAACCCAGATACATGGGTTTACTGCAGCTTGGCCCGAGTGTTTCTGTGTAGACAGAAGCAGCAGGTGGACCAGTTCCCAAACAACTTTAGTTACTATAAATCATGCTTCCTCTGCCATGCTTCTAAATAAGCTGAAAACAATCCTTCTGAAGGCACAGTTTAAACAAAATGGCTACAAGCAAAGCTTAGCTGTATAAAGTGTCTTTAAAAAAAAAAAAAAAAATCATTATAATAAATCAAGTGCATAAGTGCATGTTACTGATGTAAATGGTCTTTTAAGGCAGCTGAGGAATTGAGACACCAGTTGCTGGCTGTACAAGTGGCCACAGCCCTCCTGGGCCACAGCTGGGCAGAGGAGAGGCCTCCAGCACAGAGTGCTGGGCAGGCAGGAGCTGGCTGGCAGCTGTACCCAGAGCACTGCTGGGGCACCTGCAGGCACAGCTGGGGGACGACCAGTCTGCAACAAGGAGGATTCTGCTCTGCACAGGGACTCACTACAAGATCCTTACAGCTTCCTGGTAATTTATGTCCTGAGGTCAGCAGAGGCGGTGAATAACATTCTCTCAACCACATAAAAGCTTTAATCAACAGACTTCTAACATTTTAAATTCATAGTGCTGCGATCAACTGAAGTGAGTTGTCTTGTTTATTTCACGTGCAATTGTTTTTTATGCATGCATTTTCAAGTCTTGAAAAATTCACAAAGGGAAAAGATAAAAAAGAATGAGCAAAATAAATTATGGTTCCATTTTTTTTTTTTTACATTACATCAGTTTTAAAGCCGTCAGTGGGAGGAAAAGCAATAAGGAGCCTTCCCTTTCCACAGCCCATACAAAGATTGGTGAAAATGGCTCCAACGTGATTTTTCACCCAAATTTTTTATCCATACAACACAGGCAGAAAACAGATCACCAAAATGCTTCTTCTGTGTATTCTTCCCTATAAAATTTACTCAACACTTTGTATGGTGCAGAAAGATACATAAATACAACTATTTTTCCGAGACACACCAAACAATGACTTCTTCCAGTAAAGGTGAAATTTCTGAATGCCTGTTTCATCATTAGAGTGGCTTCTGCTTCACATGAGTGGAAAATTTTTGCATTCAAACATAAAGGGGTGTGCAAGTGGCATTCCAGACTTCTACTGCATTATTCATAGCAGAGTTATGCAGACATCAGACTCAGATTAGATTTTTCATCACTTTGGACAGTCATGCTAGGCAACATTTATCACTAAATGAATTTATCTAGAGGATGACAGTCTCGGTGCAATACTGAGAACTACACTACAACTTCTTCAGTGCAATCAGATAATGGGCCTCACGGGTTGGTAACATGCAGCTCATTTTGCAAACTCTTAAACTAAATGAGAACTCGAAGTGAAAACCACGTCATATTCTGTTGGCTTAAACATGCAAAACAGACAAAATGGCCATTTCTGCTAAAATTCCCTTAGATTGCTAGATGTTCTCAAAGCCAACTTTATTTATTTATTTATTTATTTAAATCACATACTAACAGCTTGGGAGCCACATCCTTCCTATGACAATTCTAGGTACTTAGAAAGTACACCATCTGTACTTTAATAAAGCCACAGTACGTTAAGATCATATGCCATATTTATCAGCATGTTGTTGTTCTATATTTTACTCACAGTAAGACAACATACAACATTTCCTTAAACTGAAAAAACCTGCAAGACATGGATTTCACCCACTTCCATGCAGTAACTTCAGATGGAGCCTAGGTCCTGAGAGTCTCTTGACACAAACAAAATAGACATTTTAACAAAAAAAAAAAAATCAATGGGAAATGAATTGCCCATGGTGAATAATCTCTAAGTCTGTGCGTCCAGCTCAAGAAGAACCTGTATTTCCTTGGGAGAATGGTGATTAAAAAAATGAAAGAAAACAGGGAATTAGGAGAAAAACAGTCATCTGATCATCCCATTTGTAATCATGTTCTACCAACTGGACTGGAGAAGCAGGTTGTTCCAGGATACCCCTAGAAACTGAGAAACTGTAAGCGAAGTGCAGAGTCCATTTTACTGTGCCTAGCGCCTTCAGTTCCAAGACTAGAAGGAGCCTTAGTGCAGGGAATCACCAAGTACTTCCGTTAACATGAATCTGAGGGGAGTGGTGATACAGCAAGAAAAAGAAAGGGGAAGCCCTTTAAAAACAAATTCATCCCTCCCCACCCCCACAAAACAACAACAACAACAAAAAAAAAAACCCAAAAAAAAAACCACAAAAAAACCCCCCACAAAACCACACAATAATCAGAGTAGGAAAATGGATAAATGGATAGAGGGTAAAAGCATAGAGAAAAAAAAAAAAAAAAAAAAGGAAAATATGGGGAAAAAAGGGAACAGAAGCATAGTACTGTGAATTATACTATAACAAAGATATGCCCTGGGCTGAAAGGCCAGTCCTGTAAATTCCTACAAAAACAGTTGTAAAAATCGAAAGAACGTGAAGAGACTTTCAGAAGACTTCAAGGCAAGGCTGACTGGCAGCACTAAAAG